AACGGTTCGGGATGCCGTAGATTGATGGACGCCAATAGCTTCTCCTATGCCAATTTGAAATCCTGGATCACCCACATATCGTAAAAAACCCACATTCTTTCTATATTACTCAAAGCACCGCCCCTATATTCTTCTGTCTCTCCAAGAAAATGGTTACTTATCCACTCAACATTAACTTTACTAAACCGATATAAGGCCCGATCTTCACTTGATTCCCTACGATCTTTAAACACCTTCGTAGGCTGATAAATAGGTATAAATTCGGCCATTTCGTCCACTTCTTATAAAGCTGAGTCTACTACTAAGGTATCTCGCATTTCTTTAAGTATGCACTCAGCGGTCAGAGTGGACGCTCACTTTTATGCATATAAAAATTGAAGTCGGCACTCAAGGAGCGAGTACAGCCTCACGGAAAGAGTAGAAACTTATGAGTGTGAGCTTCTACTAACATTTTTATGCATATCAAATGGAGTGGCTACTTTAAAAATGCGAGTCAAAAGTAGCCACTCTCCTTTATGCATATCACCCAATAAAATTGAAAGGATGGGAACAAGAACTGTTCAATTTTCTACGAGGAGAACCAAATCCTAGTATTGCTCGATTGCAATGTTAGTTGTATTTTTTTGTTTTTCCATACAGTAGGTATAAGATGTGATTGAGTATAATATATATACATGTCAATAAATATAAATAGCATATATTTTAAATTGTATGTGCTGTTGTGGCAGGTTGCCAACAAAAAAGCGTTGATTGCACTCCAACAGCCTGTGCTGAAGAAGAAAGAATCACCGAAGAAGCATCTGGAAGTTCAGGACCAGTACTGAAAGCTACCACAATGAAAGCCCTCTAAAAAAGGAAAACGAGGATTAGTGGAAACTGATGAAGCACGAGATTTATCAATAACAGAGCTCCAACGTCTCGTTTTACTTGAACAAATACAAGTGTTTCGGCTAGCTAAGGAACTGCTACTTCACAAGAAAAATATTAATGAATCTGATCCAAATTTATCAACTTTAAATGAAAGTGCAGAAACTGGAAATTTTCATGAGACTATTTCCAGGAAAGAACTGACAAAAGTACTTCATGTTTCATAAATGTTATTTTTTATTAATTTTAAGAACTTTCTCTTAAGTTGCCATTTTGAAAGTGTTATTAATTTTGTTATGAGTAATTAAACATCGTTCTTCAACGTATATCTACATAATTTGTAAATTTGGATCATGCTAGATACTTACTTAGACCCGACAGCCATGAATAATTCTTGATATTGCATCTCTTCTAAATTGATCTCTCTGACGTATCACTCCATCTGCATAGTCAGCAGCATGTTGATTATGGATTTCTTCGTGTTCGTCATCTCCCGGTATATCAACAGCAAAATCTTCATCATTAAGGTGCTTAGCCACATTATGCAAGATAAAACAACTCATGACAAGGGAGGGCACTTTTTCTGTATCGACGCGCATTTTGTTATGTAGAATGGGAAATCGCTGTTTTAGTTTCCCGAAACATCTCTCTATTATAACCCGCTCTCTCGTAAACAGCCGATTGTATGATCTTTGTTCTGCTGTTTCTGCAATCCTAAAAGAAGTCAAGGAGCTATAACATACCCAGAGTCTCCCAACAAAACAGCACTAGCCCTATTCCATTTCATATATCAGAATTTTTCCATATCCGAGAGTCCTGGCCAAGAAACATCCACACTTGTGAACTCTTCGTTTGAATTGCACGTTGCTTGTACATTTATACTAGCAAAGTTCTTTCTGTTCACATATTCGTCTGCATGAATGAACGGGTTCAGAATAGGTATATGGGTGCAGTCGATAGCACCAATAGCTGAAGGAAAATTGAACTTTTCTTGCCACTCATTTTTAGCTTGTGTAGATCTTCACATGTGGTTGGGTATCTAATCCAAACGTTCGAGTTCTGCACAATGCGTGTTATAACGTTGGAAACGGTTCGGGATGCCGTAGATTGATGGACACCAATAGCTTCTCCTATGCCAATTTGAAATCCTGGATCACCCACATATCGTAAAAAACCCTCATTCTCTCTATATTGCTCAAAGCACCGCCCCTATATTCTTCTGTCTCTCCAAGAAAATGGTTACTTATCCACTCAACATTAACTTTACTAAACCGATATAAGGCCCGATAGTCTACTTTTCTTGATTCCCTACGATCTTTAAACACCTTTGTAGGCTGATAAGTAGGCATAAATTCGGCCATTTCGTCCACTTCTTATAAAGCTGAGTCTACTACTAAGGTATCTCGCATTTCTTTAAGTATGCACTCAGCGGTCAGAGTGGACGCTCACTTTTATGCATATAAAAATTGAAGTCGGCACTCAAGGAGCGAGTACAGCCTCACGGAAAGAGTAGAAACTTATGAGTGTGAGCTTCTACTTACATTTTTATGCATATCAAATGGAGTGGCTACTTTAAAAATGCAAGTCAAAAGTAGCCACTCGCCTTTATGCATATCACCCAATATCTGTACCCCATTCGTAGTCCATTTACGCCCAGACAAAACACAACATATCCAAAAGCGAGCTTGTACAGGTTCGTATTTTCCTCAATGGTCTTGGAATAATCTAACAAAATGATTATTTCTATAGAAAGAAGTGCACATACTTTTCAGAATTATTCTTTATTCGCTAGAAGTACTTGAATCATTGTCCGAATGGTTAATATTAATTATTAGAGGTTTAATTTTAATATCGATCATATTGTACAGATTCCACATCTTCGTTTCGACAGTCTTTTGTACGTGTCGGATGCAATCTTTCCAATGGTTCGCCGTCACTCTATTGACAGCTTCATAAAACAAATTTTTCACGTCATAAACTTTGAATATTCTATTGTTTGAAGCCACATAGTTTTTTATATTTTCCTAAACCATTTCAATGGGATTTAAATCGCAGTGATAAGGGATTATAGCCTTAAGACGGTCTTATTTTGGTTTTTAGCTATTTCGTCAATAGAATTATATTATATTTGTGCTGCCTGACTAGATAGATAAGTTCTGCTTTGGCCATATTTTCATTGAAACTATTTTTTTTGGTAGAAGCCATTGTTGAATTTCTGCCTTTCTTGTGGACATTGTAAGAATTTTTTCTAGTTTTCTAGTGTGATGTGCAGCGTTATCAAGTACAATGACGGCATTGTCGTCAATTTTTGCGAGCGTTTCTTCAAATCATCATTCAAATGAACTACTGTCCATTTCTTCATGGTAGTTGGTCGTTTTCTTTGACTCAAATACTCATAGGGCAGTCGACACAAAGCCATCTTTACTGCCAATGTGACAGATAACAAATCTCTTTCCTTCTCCTGGAAGTAATTACTTCATATAATATTCAAGAAAACTAATAATAATACAAGCAGTGTATCTAACAGGTGTTGGTTCCAAATGTACCAGATATAGCTAAGTTTAATGTAGCTAAGTTTTCAGCGTGGGCTCATAGATTCAGTCTACTTGACACCATTTTTACAACACAAATAACGAATTGGTTAGATACACGTACCTGAAGAATTCTTTAAGTCAGTGGTTAGTCCATTTAAAAAGGCTTGTCTTGGTGATTTAATTGTAGAGTCAGCCCATTGTATGTAATGCATTTATCCAGGTTTCATCCAAGTAATAAATCTTCCTGCTCTGGTCGCGGTATTTCTTTATTGATTTTAAATAATTTCTTCTCCGTAAAATAATATCTTGGCTGTCCATCAAAATACTATTTCTGCCCCGTTTTCTATACTCAAAATGAATTTCTTTGAGTAAACTATAGAATGTGTTCCTTTTGAAAGTAGGTAAGTCTTCATCATTATTAACCTCCTGTAATACTGTCTGTGGTGGGAAGTTCCTGCCTTTCAAGAAATGGATGGACTTTGCATCTGATGCCATTCCGATCACAGTTATCAACTGTATCCAACAGCTTCGTGTAATGCAGCCTCCTGTGTGGTGGAGACAATTTTTTGTTTTTTTTTTAATATTCTTTAACAATATTGAAAATTGTCTCAGGAGATAAGCCTGTTTTGTCCGCCACATGTCTTTCAGTATCATGATCTTTCATTTCAGAATGCTCTAAAATTTCGCTCTTATAAATGTTAAGGACAATTTTTTTTGCCTGCACTTGTTAGCTTTATGGCCTAATGACCAATAGCTACTGCAACTATCAGGCGGCTGCCGCTTTGCTGCGCTGCATTTTTGTTGTGCCTGGGCGTAAATGGACTACGAATATTGTATAGTAGTACTTCAGGGTCAATAAACATCATTGATCCCAGTTTGCATTCATCGCAATTTGAACCTGCAGCGGAATCATATTAAATACTTCTCTGAATAATAGCAACATATAAAAGACGAGGTAAAAATAGTAGTCCTCTAAATACGCGAGTACATGGACACAACAATAATAAGATATTTCCATTACTTCAAATGGATGCTCGTATCCTCTTTATTACGATCCATATTCAGCAGCTCAATGTTTTTCCACAAACAACACCACAAATGTTGTCGAACCACTCCAACTTTGTTGCTGTATTGCCGAACGATATATCACAAACCTCAAGTTTGATAGTTTGCAATGGTAGCGTAAGCAAATTCCTGTTTCCATGGCCAACTTATAATTTGAGGTCTCAGTTTTGAAATTCGTAATGAATTTCATTCGTTTCCTTTACTATGATTTCTTTAATGTTTGCTGGGTTTTCCCATAAATGGAGCACCACCATGTTAAGTATAAGCAGGTAGATTGAAAACTTTGTAAAACAGTTACAGGTGACGTCGTCTGACGCCTATCTCCAGTCACCATCTCGCACTTAAGCGCAACCTCAGATATCTTCATAAGAACAAAAAACAATGAAAAATTATATTTCAAATCCAAGTTAGTACTCAATCTATCACCCATAATATTCTTCAAATTGCGTCATCTGTAGCAAGCTGACTTCTGTAATATTTGTATAAATTTTGATCAGTTTATATTTGGAATTGATTTGCCTATATTTTTGAAAGATGCAAACATGATGACCGAACCTACCAAGACAAACAAAGATGGAGGGTTGGGGAGTGTACGGAGTGTGCTTGTGTGAGAGGAAAAGTGGAGTGCCATACCGATGATGCTTGTTTACAAGCATTGAGGCCTACGAGGGAGCCACACCTTGATATATCTGGATCTCCGTTACCAGGTAAGCCAAATAATAGTAAACGAGTTTCCCATGTAGACCGAGCTTCCATTATACTTGAAAGTTGGGACCGAAAACGTAAAAAGGAAATTGAAGATAAATACTCACTATTTATTTGGTATGTTATTCCCAAGTACCTGTCACATGTTTTGGTTGTAATTACTGGTTGAAGTTGTCGCTGTTCGAACACGAGTTTGTTTACTTTTTTGCAATATTCGAGACTACCTAGGCCTTCTGCTGTATCCACCCCGACGGCCTTTGCAGGATATGAATATTCATGAGCAGTTCTAGATGCAAAGATCCAAGAAAATGAATGAATTATCACAAGCATCCTGAAGACACTCACTACAAACTATATCAAACCGATAACTACGGTATTGCTATAGAAATAAGCCAATTTCGGTTTTTAAATGCGGTTTGTTTATAAACTAGATACGCTGCGCGGCGTCTGTTTTGGATACTGACTCACATAATCATAGTACCACAAAATATCATAACCTTTAGACGTAAGAGGCAGTGGTAGCGGAGGTATGGACAAAAGAATTAAGAAAACAAAACTTTCCACAGGCTCCTGATCATTTTCTAAAAAAAAAATTTGTAGGTGTTGAATAGTGGGGGCTGGCATCTTCGGTACCAGTGAAAGTCGCTCTGTTATTAAGAGGCTTCTGATCCCGTGAATAACTAGATATTTAGATAACAAAAATTCCAGGAATCATTTGTCCACAAGAGCGATACCTAAAAATCTAAATGAAGTATATATATCCCAACTAACAATTATCACTCCTATTAGAGTTGCAAGAATGATTATACAGTATTCCTTACATAGCATTGTATACTGTAAGAACATTGGCAAAACTATCTTAGAACAGCTATACAAGCGGAATGGGCACACCGAATAGGACACTTCAGTCATTTAAGAGGTTGTAGGTATAAGGGCTGCAGGTAACAGTTATACAATAAAAGTGTAAGCCTCTTGCAGCCGCTATAGGACATTTGCGTCAGTGCAAGATTCAGTTTTTGTCAACTATACAACTATTCTGTTACGTGATTCTACTTTATTGCAACCAAACTATTTCTTATGTATTGTAAAGACGAAGTGAAGAATATATAACTAACACATTACAGTCATCTTGTTGTCAACGCCAAACAAAGTGGCGTGCACGTCATCACGATAAAAATTCCCCGACCTAATGCCTAGGTTTCTATCACAAACAATTGCTCTATTGCAGTTTCATATTAATGTGATATATAAATTGTAAAATGGTCATTACTCTCTTATTATGGTTAATAGTCATATAAACATTGTTATTAAAATATCACATAAGTTGCTTTCTGATAAATTTAGACGCATTATGCGAAATAAAATGTTTTGCAAACGCTCCAATCACTTATCGACATGTAAACGCACTAAACCGATTTCGCAGCGTTGACACATTGTCACCTTGAAACTTATTTAAACTGGGAACTGACATTTGTATTAATTTTGACACTGAATCAATTTGTGGCATTTCAAATCTTTATAAATCCTTTGGCCCCGCATACTGTAAATCAACAACTGTTTGTTTCAAAACAAAATTATTCATTTTACGAGTAGATAAAGGCAGTTTTGGTATATAAAGATGCCCAAACAGTTAAATAGTCGGTGTAAGGAACTCGTGGCCTCGTTAATGCACTACTTTGAGCAAGAAAGGGACAACAACGGGCCTTTGTTGCCTTTAAATGCTGTTCAAGAGGTAGGTTACTAATAATTATATGTAATGTATATTAATAATAGTGAAATTTTATTTCATTTTTTGTAGCGTGTTGCTGCTGCTTTAAAAATTAGTTTAAGGACAGTTAGTCGTATTTCCGAGGGTGTGAAAAGTGATGCAAATTTAGAATCGCCCAAGAAAAAGCGGAGTTATATTAAACGTGTAACCAACACAGCGACATTGGATACAAGTGCCATTCGAGAAGTGATCTATAATATGTATCACAAAAGTAAGATCTTATTATAATAACTTATCAGAAATTTGCATTAATTTGTTAACTAAATTATAATGTCATATTACACATGGTTTCAGAAGAACAAGTTACGATACAAACTTTATGGTCTCGATTAAGAGATAGGGCATTATTTGATGGTAGTGCCACGTCTTTAAGGCGGTTGCTTAGAGATCTTGGATTTAAGTGGCTTAAGGACAATCCGCGACGAGGGCTCATGGAACTACCAAGTATAGCTTTGAAAAGGGTGGAATTTCTAAGGCAATACAATCAAGCCAAGGTTGAGGCCTTATACCAGTTTGTCTTCCTCGATGAAACTTGGATATTTCAAAATGGGACCATAGGTCGCTCTTGGCAAAATGGAAACCAAAAAAGCGTGAAAGCTATTAAAACAGATGGTAAAAGGTATGTACTTTTACACAATTTGCACTATAAAATTTAAAACTAATATATTTTAGATACATTATATTACATGCTGGAAATGAAAATGGGTTTAATTGAGGGTAGTGAAGCGATATTTTCTTCGAAAACAAAATTGAGCGATTACCATGGAGAGATGAACCAGGACAATTTTTTGAAATGGTTTCAACGTCAGTTATTAGAAAAATTGGAGAGTCCATCTATGATTATACTGGATAACGCCCCTTATCACAGCATGATATTGAACAAAGTGCCCAACAATGCATGGACAAAAAAAAATATCCAAGACTGGTTGACAAATCAAAACATACCATTTTTAAACACAATGTTTAAAACAGAGCTATTGAGTATTGTTGCTCGGTACATAATGCTTCTTAATTATATATATTTTGGTCGACAGTTTATATTTCTTTTGTTTATTCCTATTCTTAAAATAACTGCTTTTTTAGAAACAAACCACCTAAAATATACGTGATTGATGAATTGGCGGAACAACATGGGCACAAAGTTCTTCGTCTGCCTCCTTACCATTGTATATTTAACCCTATTGAGTTAATTTGGGGCATAGCAAAAGGTTACTATAACAGACATATTGGTAGAGATGGTAACAGTGAAAAAGACTGTTTGGATATGTGGAACGAGGCTCTACAAACGGTTACCCCAGACATGTGGAAAAATAGTGTTCGACATACTGAGCAAGAAATTTTTAAATGGTATGAAAGAGAACGAATTTTTGATCGACCAGACATCGAACCTTTAATAATCAACTTTGAGAGTGATGAAGATTCAGATTCAGACAGCGCTGAAGAAAGAAACTCCGACTAACTTTATTGTACAGAACCAGTAGCTTACCTAATTTTAGAATGCATTTTTCTGTATGAATTCTGTAAAATAAATACCATGCATAAAATTTGGAGGACCCCATTTGGATTTTTATTCAGTACCTTTAAGCTATCAATTAAATATGGTAGTTTCATAGTGTCATCTGATCAATAATTGTCATACTTAATGATTATGCAAGTACAGATCTATAATTTTATTATACTATTATTTTTGTTCTCATTTGAGGTTAATATTGCTTATAAACCTAGATATGTAAATAATAAATTTTATTATTTTACAAAAAGTTTGGCAACAATGTAAATTTTTCAACACACCCACCTTGATGACGTGCACGCCACTTTGTTTGGCGTTGACTATACTTACATCTCCGCCATTGTGAATTTCATACACAGGTATATGATAAACGTCTACACTGTGATATAGGGCTATTGAATTACCTGCGCAGCAAATTTTATTGTGATTATCGTGAAAGGTAGTTACGCAATTTCTACGGGCTTCGTATTTGATTCATATGTTAATAATGATCAAAAGTATGTCTAGATTTTTAAGATGGTAAACTGAACTTATCTGCGTTAAATCTTCCACAAATCCTATATTTAGACACAATTACACTAATGTTTGTCACTTTATATCTGTAATTTCGAATTAAAACATAATTATTAAATATTAAATAGAGGAATAAATGTTTAACCAATATGGCGGGTGGTTGTGTATAATCATGGCATCGTCCATGTTGTCTTTAGTTTATTAGAATATTTTGGTGTTGCCTGCAGGCGTTATACAACAATTTGACAAATGTCTGAAATGAAATACCGACAGAGTCGAATGATTTACCCAGAATTTGTACCAGATCTATATCTTCTGTTTGAACAGTTGATAAAACCTTTTGAACCACTATGCATGCGTTGTTTGTCTTATAACATTGGTTATGGCATTTTAACAAAAATATGACAGCAGAAAGTTAGGTTAAGGTGAAGTTGTACACCAACATATTTAGAAACAAAGGTATGCCGAGCACAGCAATTTTGTACTACAAAAGTTGTAATATTGTTCCATATGTACAGCCGTTAACAGTTACTAAACAACAGTTGTATAAGTGCTTCCATTGGGAGCAGTTTGTTGGCTAAAGTAGTAAATTTGCACAGCAAAACAACAAGGCTCCGGTTTGCTTTATAAAAGTTACCATGGATGCCAGAACACAACCATTTTGACTAACGTGCAAACATGCCGTATAAAATAGTTGTATAAACGTTTATGCAATAGTTAAAAATTTGTCCTATAAGGTGTTGTATAACTATGCTAGAAGAATATTTTAAACACCTCATTTTAGAGCAAATATGTTGCAGAAAGCAACTGCATTCCACACAACATTAAGCCAGCATTTTGGTGTTCAGGCAACAACAATAGAGAGTTTTTATGGCTGAACGGTTTTTTTACCAAAAGCTTTTATAGCACTACTTTGCTAGTTGGGATTAGCTGTGGCCGACGGATGTTGTTCTTTATAATGCAATAATGGTTTTTCATATATATTCCCATCTGTAGCATATTTTCTCACCTGTTAATTGTAATATATTCCACCAACCAGGGATTTTCTTTTCTAATCTCTCTCATTTTTGAAATTCAGAAAATTTGCATATATGATTTCCTGAATGAATAAGAAAAAGTGAATGCGCAACTAATTTCTAGCTTTGAATCTCAGGTAAGTGGATTTGAGACAAGAAACCAACAGAATTATCATCAACACATGTTACTGACACACAAATCCTCTCTATGCACCTATGCCCTGCCATTTTCTTCCGGCTATAATATACAACTTACAGTTTTGACCTCCAATAATGCTATCTCTGAGGCAGATGTTACGTCACATCAGAGCCAAACCACAGCCTAGATAACAATCAGTCTTGAAGCTCTCCTGTCAGTATCAAAGACGGCCGTCATTTCGGCGGAGAAAGTTGAATGTTAATTCCCCCAGTACAACGATGAAAAAGGTTGTAGTGCTCAGCAGCAGCCGGTGTTGCTATGTGTCATGCCAGCGGCAGCAGGTATTCTTTACAATCTTGAAAAGATAATATTTCGATATGATATAGAGTACCGGCTGCTGCTGAGCACTAAAAACCCTTTCATATTTGTACTGGGGGAATTAACATTTGACTTTCTACGCCGAAATGGCGGCCGTTTTTGACACTGACAGGAGAATTTCATAGCTCATTGTTATCTAGACTGTGGCCAAACACTGATAGCTGAAGCGTCATGACGCTTAGGCAATACGTGCAGCTACAAAGCGAGTTTATGACAAGTGTACAACAGCTACTGATAAGTTGACATCTTGTAGAAAAGCCTATGTTATGATACAGAAAAACCTAATAAATGTAAAAAAATCGACAAAATGTCGCTTTTCAAGATACGTAATACTCGTGCGGGTATTATTTAGCTGTTAGGAATAGGTATCACTTCAGCGTTCTGTGAAAGCAGAATTCCCCCGAATTCTTAGTTTTTGTTAATAAGTGAGTGATAAATAGGTACCTGCATATCTTCGTAGATAAGAACATGACTTTCAAGTGTGTGATAATGGGAAGGGAATGTCGTCAGGTACAGTGATTCAGTATTACGTACTGATGTACAACTATACAGGGTGTTTCAAATTCGACCATTATCATTGGGATCTCGCAGTCTGTAAGAAATACGAAGTCGCTTAAATGGCAAAGTTCCCAAAATCATGGGATTTCAAAAAAAGATGCACATAATCCATTGACCCTTTTTCTCCTCTACAAGATGACATTAATATAATTTCAATATAACGTGTCATCTCTTGTCGTCCAGAATCAACTCTATTTTTTTTATGGACGTCATATTGGATTTTTGAACAGATGAATAGAGTTTTGAATTCTTATACATTGACATCGTCCAACCTTAGTTATTTCAAAAAAGCAGAATTTTCTAGGTAGGCCTTGAAATTATCAGATAGTCATTTGTTTCGCATACCAGATCTATCCCAAAATCACTTTTATTCTTTCTTGACTTTATTTGAGATGGGATTCCAAAATAAATTGCATGTACTCGTACTTATTCTTTTCTGCAAGATGGCGTAGTCAAATTTTCAATTCGACATTTTTTTCTTTCGACTTCCATGACAACATTGATTTTTCATAATTATAGACGCCATATTGCAATTTTGTACATTTAAATGGTCTTTTCAGTTCTAAATTCAGTGATCTGTTTCCTTAGTTGGCCATGAATTTGTAATTGGATAAAAATTATGAGGAAATAAAAAGGTATTGTGAAACCTGAACAGAAAATGAAAATTTTATTAATGGTAATAACAACAATAGTCATAAATGAGCAGAAGTAAATGAAAAAAGATGTTCAAAATGTTCAATATTTTGTAGGCAAAGAACGACTTTTCTCTGTACATTATTCACTGCTTGTTTGCCTTCTTCTGCCTTCCAAACTCTGTTGCTATGTTCAATTCGAGATCTGTTCTGCTATACGAAACAAATGAAATCTGATGATACCAAGGTCTGCCTAGGAATTTCTGTTTTTTGGAATAACTAAGGTTTTTCAATGTCAATGCACGACGTATTATACTATTTTGGAATTACAATTAAAAACTCTATTCATCTGCGCAAAAATCCAATATGGCGTCTTTAAGAAAAAAAAGATGATGCTCTAGGACAAGAGAAAAAACGTCATATTGAAATTCTAATTATGTCATCTTGTAGAGGAGAAAAAGTGGCAATGTCAATGAGCAAATTATTTTGAAATTCCAACACAAATAAGGTCAGGAAATAACTGAAACGATTTTGGAAGTACCCCGAGTTTCGAAACTTTCTAAGCAGCGTTATATTGATTACCTATTTACGCAACTATACCCCTATCTAAGCGACTTCGTACCTCTTCCCGATGGTTAGGGTCGAATTTGGAACTCTTTATATTCTGAACTTCTTAGGACCGTTTTCAGAAGGTGCATGGTGATACAGCTTTTGAAAACCGATGATACATACATGGTTAATGTTTCAAATAACTAAGCGATCGTAACTATATAAAATGACGGAAAAAAGTTTGCTAATCTTTGGGCCCTTAACTCAAACAAGAACCTTTTTAATTATGCCAAAAGTGCCAAAAACTCGGGAAGTACCCATTTGGAGAGACTTTGATGAAGTAACTATTTTGCTTAGATCGAAAAAGCTTTGTAGGTCTTGAAAATTGAATCAGTGGCGGCGGAGCTACGGACAAAACAAAAATCGCTGAAACATCATGTTTTGACGTTATAGAGATTCCTGCTCATCTTCAGAAGTTTTATGGACTGGTTCAAGAAGAATACTTCATTCCAAGTACATTTTCTTATCACAAAATAAAATTATTTTATCATGTTTGGAAAGTATACTTCTGATTTTTAAATGTCAGGATCACGTGGTGATTACGGTCCACCAGGCTCGGAAGGTAGACCTGGAGAACCAGGGTTTCCAGGAAGTCCTGGCGCACCTGGCGTCCCAGGTATTCCCGGACCTCCAGGACCCGCACCTGACTTATCATCGTACTATCAGCAACTGGCTCTTGCCCAATCAGCAGGCGATAAGGGACCAGCATATCCTGAACCATTCCAATATCTGCAAGCCCAAGTTGGACCTGTTGGAGCTAGGGGACCTCCAGGTAATTATTACAATTGTACAAAATTGCATAGGTATATCCTACAGTCAAAACTGATAATCGGTCAAATCCACATTTGACTGCAAAAATCAGGCACTAGTAGTTTTGATCTAAGACATCCACACCTCTTTAATTTCAAAAATATTGAGCAATAGTCCTTTTAACTAAAACTGCTTATGACTGGGAATATTGAATACAAATCATAGATTTGAAAATTTTACATGAGGCTTACCTACAACCTTTAGAGAAAGGAAATGAACATTTCAAGTAATTCTTAATTATTGAGATTGCCATCATACATTAAAAGAATTAGAAACGTTTTATATGTATGAACAGAAAATAAAATGGAAAGTTAAACCTATTAGTTGTTAAACATATGATAATACTATTTGCTCGCATAGCCCGAATTGTTGTAACACTTGGAATTACACAACAATTTTTTTTGTGCTAACATATGTTATTTTTACAACCCTTATTACACGTCGTTACAGTTCTTTGATGATTTCCTGGTAATTTTCATTAACGCGGCTAACTTTTTATGAGTCTTGATCGATATTCTGAACTCAGGCAAATCCACTTTTGACAAAGAACGTTGGTCGAAATAACTTTTGACTAAGAACGTATTTGGAATAGTGACGTGGGGAAACGACTTATATTACCTACTATCTATATTATCCATTTAATATGAAGCTCTGGAAGATCCTAGAAAAAGGGAGGAAGAGACTATACGATAGTGAATTCCACAGCTCTGTATGTTAATATTTGCACTTTCGAGGGAGCGAATTAGCGCTAACTAAATGTTTATGTCTGAACAAGATAAAATGGGAGTCTGATTTTCAGGTAGTTAGAAGCCAAATTGAAACAGATGAGCCATGAATTGGTTGGATATATTGGGGTAGATAACAAACAAAATAGATGTGATTTAGATTAACTATAGAGGATTTGTCACTAGCACAATTTGGAGAGTCTATTGCACCTATTCTAATCTCTTTGTGGGATGTAAAAAGCGCACCCAGTACCATCACACTTTCAGAGTCATCGGTATAGGTAACCATCTGGCAATTGAGATCTTCCAATACGGCACATGGAACAGACCTATTGTTATAACAGTTTCGGAAATATATGATGACTATCATGAAAGATTCGTAAAGAAATTGCATATAATGGGCGATTATCCATCCAAGCTTGAGCTAGTAGTGGTGAAAATTATTTTAGGCATTACTTGTTAGTCAAGTTAGCAATTCCTAAATCTGGGATCTTATTGGGTAAGAATTTATTATGGGTTCTGTATTTGACAACGGCTTCCTCTGCAAAATACCTTTTTTGTAAAGTAAGAGGAGGTGGTCACGATGACTCTCATGAAAATTCTCAAGGCTTGATATTGTACTCGGTCAACTTTAGTTAGATCAGACTCAGCCGCGGAACCATACAGTACACAAAAATAATCCAATATAGAAGGTACGTGACTCTATTTATTAATCTGGAAAATCTCCATATTTCAGTGACAGGTGTTCTCCGATTAAGCTTGTTTAAGATTGACATACAGCGTGACCTTTGTTTTTCTTTAAATAGCCTTTTGCTCCAACCTGTGCTTTATTGTAATGATAAAATTTTCGCATCTTGCTTGTGGCTTATAAATAATTATCAAGAGCCTCATTTTGTTTTTCAAATAAATGCGTGCTACCAAATAGGCTGAGTAGAGAAACTGGTGAAATGTTTTTTCAATCGGATGGTGTTATCAGCAGTATTTGAGACTATGTTTAGTAGTTTAATAAATATCGGAATTATATATCCGGTCTAAGTATAAAAGCGCTCGATCTGCGTGCTTGTCATTTCATCTAGTATATAGTAAGAATTCAAAATATTAGTTTGATGTTGATCGGATTGATATTTTGATTGGAAAATGATGATACCATCGATCAAAATATCCCAAATAATAGTGATGATCCATTATTTCGGCATTTTTTCACAAATTTTATTACATTATTACTCAAGAAATGCTGAAGGCTTGCTTCATTAGCAACAATCGATCGCGCATTGCCATTGCAAAATATACATGCGTCTTTTCCTATTTGTTGTATTTTGCGTTATCAACAAGTACCTTTATCACTTAATGTAGGAATACTGATCACCTCAGTGCTACTGTTGGAAAGCATTTTCTTTGAATTTTCGTCAAAAATAGAGCTTGAGCCCCCCTTAACATTTATCTAAAAGGTTGCAGATTGCGAGTTTAAAAAACTAGTAATCGGAGTATACATTTGAAAAATGATATTTTCCTTATGCTGTTGAGAGTTAGGTAAACTTTTTGAGCCAGACTGATTTTTGTAATCACACGTGAATTCGACCGGTTATGGGTTTTGACTGTAACATATATACATACGATTATGAATAACAGTTATCTTATAATAGCCCAATTCTCGATAAAAGCTGCTAGAGAAGCCAGTACTCCGGCAAAGTTATTTTCAATGTACACGGTTACTCATGAGATACGGAAACGAGTTACCTTATAATACAGATAAGTTCAGTCGTCGTACTAGTCTTACGGAAATTGTTAAGACTTATTTTCTTGTTCATAAGCTGGGCTTAAGATTACCATAATAACCGAGAAAGTATCTGATACAACTGTCAATGATCGTGAATACTTATAGGTCCTCCTGGAGCTTCTGGACCACAAGGCTTCCAAGGGCCAAGGGGAGAAATAGGGGAAACAGGTACAGGAGGACCTCCAGGTTCTCCGGGACCTAGAGGACCACCTGGGCCACCTGGAAAAGACGTAAGTTAATTTTAGTAGATTTCGCTTGTATGGTGAACATTATATATTTTTTTCTGGGTGAAAATAGCATTTTTCTATAAATTGCTTCAATGTTAAAAAAATCTATCACGTCAATAGTTACAATAGTTTTCCAATATTGTCATTAAATACAATTATTTTGAATGAATGATATATTTTCAACCATTGAAGAAACAAAAATTATTTACATAACACATTGTCAGTCACTTTTTAAGAGCCTGCAGAATTCTCTTACATCCATACCAATATTGACCGAAAAGGTTATCGTTTTTTGTTTTTTATTACAAATGAATATAATAGGGAATTAAACAAAGTGAGAAATGTCCACCTCTTATTTTATCTCCTAGGGGATGAATTTGCAACAACGCTGGATAATATTAGTTTGTGTTGCTGATTATTTGTACAGCTTTTCTAGTAAAATAACAAGGTTTCATACGGACTACCGCTCCGTTTCACCCTTTAGGGACAGAATTTTCATTTTTTTCATGTGTATTGCAAACTATTTGTTTCATCTCATCTAGAGTATGAAGCCATTTGTGTAGCACAACGATTTACTGATATCTACATCAACGTAGTTCATCACTCCGTTAGAGATTTGTATAAATAAAATTTTGTATAGGGAGAGAGAGGTGATGATGGAGAGGCAGGCCCACCAGGACCTGGCGGTCCTCCAGGACCTCGCGGTTTACCTGGCATGCCAGGACTTCCAGGAACTAAAGGTCATAGGGGATTTCAAGGTATAGATGGCCAGAAAGGAGAACAAGGTGCTTCTGGAGAGAAAGGACCCCAAGGTATGAGATTTTGCTCCTAACTTCAACTTTACTTAAACTTTGTTTTATTGTTCTGCTATTGACTCTGGTTGATGACCACATCCATGACCTTATATCGTTAGTTAACGTACTCTACCTGAATAAAATAAGTGAGTCAATATATTAATAATGTTCTATTTCTATGTTCTATGGCAACATTTTCCAAATTTTTGACAGGCACATACCTCTGTATAAGAACTACAGTCACCGATACCCGCCTTGGTTTCACTCAGCTATTATTAAGAACATTAAACTGAAAGCTAAATTTAGGACAAAAATCAACAGGTCTGCTTTTGTTGATGATCTACAAGAATTCAAACGTTTGCGCCGCTTGATAAAAAACCAGATTAAATCAGCGTATGATCAATATATTGAAAATATCCAGAATTCTTTAACAATTAACCCCAATGCTTCACGAATCCCAGCGATAATGAAATTTCAAAATAATTCTATAGATCAGCCTCAGGATATAGTAAATGCATTCAGTGAGTTTTTTAGCAGCGTCTATGTCACTCACAAGCCCCATAATAATGCCTCACTAAATCATAGTAATTTATTTGTCCATTTTCATCCAATTGAGGAAAATGAAGTCAGGAAGGCCATTAAATCACTAAAGGATAAGATGGCATCTGGTCTAGATCGCATCCCGTCCTTTATAGTCAAAGATTGTGTGGAAGTGTTTGTTGGTGTTCTTTGAAATAGTCTTGTACAGTCGCATTTACACTGCCGTCCAGCGTCAGCTGTCATTGCATCAACACGGATTTGGCTTTTGATAAAATTAACCACAAAACTTTATTAAATAAGTTAGGTGCACTTGGTTTCACAGATGATGCTAGGGAGTTGACGAAATCTTACTTATCCGATCGTAGATAATTTGTTAGCTATAATGGGTTCCAATCTGAGACCCACTTGGCACCTTCTGGACTTCCTCAGGGGTCCAACCTGGGACCATTACTGTTTTTGATATTTATTAATGACCTCTGTGACTCAGTTGAAGTGAACGCCTATGCTTTGCTGACGACCTAAAATTTTATTCGCAGATAAATACTCCTGATGATTGTATCAAGCTACAACACCAATTAAATTTTGTGCTGTCTTGGTGTGTAGAAAACAAGTTGGAGCTTAATGTGAGGAAGTGTAAAATAGTCAGCTATACCAGGAAAATTAATGTTTGCGAATATCCGTACTCTATTGATGGGTCTGTGCTAGAAAGATGCTCTGATGTACGTGATTTAGGTATAATCTATGATCAAAAGTTAACTTTTAGTCAGCATATAAATGAAAAAGCATCAGAAGCATTGGCGGCTTATGGTTTCATAGTAAGGAATTGCAGGAATTTTCATAACATAAAGTCTATTAAGCTATTATATTATGCTTATGTTAGATCCAAAGTCGAATATTGTAGTATTATTTGGAGCCCTTACTATGAATGCTATAGCACAGCTATTGAAAGAGTACAACGGAAGTTTATGAAGTTTGCTCTGTTTAGGATTGATGGGACATATCCAGAGAGAGGTACAAGTAACGAGGAACTATGTAGTCGCTTAGACATGTTGACTTTGAAAAAACGTAGGTACTGTGCCTCAATAATATTTGGCTACAAAATGATCAACAATTTAATTGATTGCCCCATGATCCTGGAACAGATCAAGTTTCGTACTCCAACGTTTGCATCTCGCAATCATAAATATTCGGGCTTCCTTCAGCAAGGACAAACATTCTTCTCAAGTCACCGTTATATGTAATGTGCTCTAACTTACAAATTTATACCTGTGTTGCACTTGTTGTTTTCTTTTCGCTTTTTTTTCGCTTTTTTTCCTTTGTATTATGTTTATAAATTGTTCTATAAATGAGAAACTGTTGGACAATAAAGCTATTATTATTACTATTTACAATTTACATTATTTCATTTTGTGCAATCATTGGTTTTTCTTTTTCTTCTTTTTCTTTTCTTATTGTACTTTTCATAAATCCCTTTTCACTTTATACAACCTGTTTTTTTTATTGTTTGCTTGTTTTCGTTAATTTTCTCCAACGTCATTATTATAATTTACATCTCTTAACGTTACACCTATTTTCTCACAATGTTCATATAAAAATTCATAAAATTGCTGTTTCTCAGAAATGAAAATTTATTTTTTTAGATGAAAGGCATTTGGATAAAATCTGATACAGTCCGGTAATTGGGCATTATAAAATGCAGTGTAATGTTCCTACGTTTTCATAAGTGCGACTTGAGATTTCTTATATTTTTTTGTAGGAATCCAAGGACCTATGGGTCTTGTTGGGCCCGTAGGACCAGCAGGACCAAGAGGAGAGAGAGGAAGAGAAGGAGCTCCTGGGCCTCCTGGATTGAGAGGACTTGATGGAGCTGCTGGTCCTCCAGGGCCAGTGGTAAGTTGCTTTGTTGATTGTTACCCACTTTGGAATATATATTCAGTTCAAACTGTCTTCACTCAATTATATCGTTACAGGAGTTATTGGTTACCAATCAAATTTGTACCTTTGCTTCTTAGGGAGGAGTTGGCAAGCCTGGCCCACCAGGGTTCCCTGGCAGCCCAGGAGCAAAAGGGGACCAAGGTGCACAAGGTCCAAAAGGAAGTCAGGGATTACAAGGGCCAAGAGGTATGATCTTATTTGCATTTGTAACAAAGTTCCGACTTTAGTAACCAGGCGTCTAAAGGACTATTGCACTACGAACTTTATGAAAATAAAGGTTATTCTTAAAACCTGTATGTCATCCCACGATGTAGTTTAGTAACAAAAGAGAAATGTATGCTTGCAATAATTTTTTTTTACTAACCTCATATCGCTTATTTGACCAATCAGCGGCATCATTTGTATCTTTAATATTGCACTCGTATCGTATTTGCTTCATATATCATTTAAATCATGGTCTCCCGCAGGTGAGTGCTAAGATGGCCTACTTGCCCTGCGAATTAGGTCGGTTCTTAAAATTGGCATATCTAGCGTGGTGTACTATTGTGGATTTCTAAGATTCGCCCCTATATGAAAAAATTTAAAACATCCCACACTTCAAAAATCTTTGGCTGATACACTTTCATCGTACTCAAAAAGATTTCTTTTTCCGATGTCTAACCTGTCCCTTGAAAAAAAAGTCCTGCCGGCGCCCACGATTCAAATTCTATATTTTCGACTGCAGGTGAGTCAGGTAGACCAGGTCAACCTGGAGAATCTGGACCCCCAGGTCAGCCTGGCAAGGATGGATATCCAGGAGAGAAAGGCGCAACTGGAGCGCCAGGTCCAGTTGGAGTTCCCGGCTTTCCCGGTGCCAGAGGACCACCCGGATTAGCTGGAAATCCAGGAGCACCTGGATCCAAGGGGCAGCAGGTATGCAAACTGAAAATGCAGTCGGACTTATCGTGGACCAGTTAGTTTTTTTGGCTTTTACTATAAGTCGTGGTTTTAGCTTAAAAGTTTTCTATAGAGATTCGGATTTTTCAAAATCTCAATATTTCCCTTGCCAGTAAAACACAGATATCGCAACAACAGGATTGTACATTAGGTGTATACTTTTTTCAGCAAGATCACTCAAAATTCACAAAATTGATCATAGTTTACAAATATAAATTTAAATATAAAATTAAAGAATATCCTCAAGGTTCTACCGATCTTCAGTTTTGAGAAATTTTCTTTTCCATAGTGATATTTCGCTATCCTTAATTTCAGCTCCCGAGCTGATTTATAGAAATCTTTTCTGCTGAAGTACATACTCCAATTTGATTTACGACGACTTGGAATTTATTACATCTCAAACTGCAAATATTGTTTCAACGATCTTTCTAACTTGCGAGAGTTTTCGTCAAAACCAAACCAACGAGATGCAGATATTGTGCTAAACAAGTACAATTGCGTCTGTTACAGTGTTGTAAAAGTGGATTTTGAAATTTATAAAAAGGTTCAAAGCTATAATTCGAACCAAAAACTTGAAGATCCACAGTAGCCAATTATAAGGGAGTCACTAAAAATATTGTATACGTCAGGATCAGCTAGAAATGTAAATCTACTGCAAAAATCTATCTAACGCCAATATATGTATATGGGATTGTTTCTGTTGAACATCAAACTTTAATCATTGATAAAAACAAGATTCACGGATGGTGATATTATTATAAAAATCATTCACTTTGATGGACAAACGGACAATATTCTAATAAATAAGAAAATAGGGGATCGTTACCAGCGCAAAGTTGCTTTATTGAATGAATGAATGAATCACGAAATTAGAGGCATATTTTCCACCATAAGGAGCCAGCGCAAAGGCCACTTAAATGGGCCCTTGTGACCTCTACATTCCTTAGACCTCAATGATGTCCCAAAATGCTTTTCCATTTCTGAGAGTGTTCTCCATTTTCCTCCTAACTCTTTGCGCGGGCATCCCTAAATCTGGCTCAGGACGAACGAGCTTGCTGGCTGATCCTGTCTAACCCGTCGTATCATTGCCCTCATCCCACGTGCCCCGGTACCCACACTAACGATACCGGATGCCTCGCTGCTGGACAATCCAGACTGCACTGCAATACAAGGCTCGAAATACTTTTACAGGCACTTAGTGCCTTTATTGTAGCCTGGCTATAGGAGAAGATTGTTATTCTTCTCCTAGGACCTCCCCCCCTCCAATATGCTGGATGCACAAGCCAGAATCACAAAGATCTCCGCCTGGAAAATAGTGGTGTATCTACCAGGCAGAGAAATTCTTCTTGTTACACACAATCGAAAAAATGTACCAAAGTAGGTAAACCACGACCGGATGATTATAATAATGGGCGGTGGCTCTAGAGATAGCTTGATCTGAACAATGTTGTAATATCGAGCAGTCATGCGAAATTGTGGACATGAAAATAAGCTTAGTCCCTTAATATTAGTAAACTAAGTTTTGTTTATTATGTATTTTTGTGTTTTGTTTTCTGTATTTCAATAATAAAGTATGTTTTATGTATTTTACAAATCATTTTCAGATCAGTAAAACATAAAATTTAGAAATCTGCAGTGTGTGGCAGACCCCCAAGATTTCATGAAATTCATGCTTCTTTATAGTTTCAAAACCTGTGTAAAATTACGTAAATTTTGATACCTCTTGCAATAACGTACATTTTTTAAATTTCAATTTATTGTACATACACCATTTATAACAAAATAAATCGATTTAGGGCTATTCGACATTTTTTAAAATTAGACGGTTATATTGTTTGATAATAATGTAGGGAGCACCTGGAGAAAGAGGTTTTAAAGGTGAAATGGGCATCAAAGGAGAACTCGGAGCAGCAGGACCTAGAGGTCTTCCTGGAGCACCTGGTGCTGAAGGAAAACGAGGCAGACGTGGTATGCGGGGCCCTCCAGGACAGCAGGGACCTCAAGGAGAGCGGGGATTGACTGGAGCTGCTGGACTACCTGGACCTGATGGTGCACCTGGGGCTAAAGGTATTCTTATTGAGCATTCAACAGTTTCAGTAGGGGAGCCGACTGCAAATGTCTTGTTACATTGCGTACTGACATGATATGATTTAAAGTAGTCAAGACTTGATGCTAAAGTGCAAACTTACCAGGTTAAATGTTGATCGGAGTGGCGAAATTGATATTTATAAACTCGAGAGTTGGCAGTACCAGGATACATTGCGTACTGCGATTGAATTGCGTAGCGAAATAAGACGTCGGCAAGTTGTGACTTATGGTTTTCAAGCAAGAGGCTTGGGTTTGCAAGTGAAAAACGTAACCACAGAAAAACTTCCAAAAAGGTTCCCTCCTCTTTATTTTTTGAATGGGTCAAGTTACCAAGCTGAAACTTAAAAGTGACAGTTGAACATCAACTGGGTGCCATTTATTTTTTTTTTTAAATTGAATCGGGAGTCGCGTCATTTTGAATCTCGTTATGAGTACTTTACAACCCTAAGATATAATTGAGCCGCATATAACTCAACAACATATCGTCACAACTGTGTAGTTTGTTCTATCAATAATTTTTTAAGAGAGTCTATATGAATGTACAACGAGATATGAAACATTCAGTATGAAAAAATGAACACGTTTTGACAATTTCTTGAAATGACGTGCTCCATATTCGGATAGATCTTTGTAAGAGAAGAAGATACGCCATATTTTCACGAGTAAAAGGCTTTACACGCGTATAGTTGGAAATATCGTTGGTTATAGAAACTAGATGGGTTTACACCTGGACGCATTCATTCCTTGAGGCCACTCTGGGCGAATTTCTCTTCGTGGAGACCACTGGACCCTTTGGAGCTAAAAGGTAGCACCAATTTTAACAATTGTACGGCAATACACTTGTGAGTTATCTCTTGCGTCATTATTCCTTTAATAGCCTTTGCAACGCACAAGCTAGAATCTGCTCAGCCCCAACTCAATTGTGATATATTTGGTGGGGTCACAATTGTACTATATTTGGGTTGGTTTAGGGAGTCTGCTCCGGGTTGAGCAGACTCGCTGGTGCGAAGGCTCAAAACGAGATAACTCACAACAAGTGCGTTGCCGCTCAATTAAAGTACAATAAATATGGTTACTTACTTTTTGGCTCCGAAAAGTCCAGTAGCCTCCACGAAGAGAAATTCGCCCAGAGTCATCCCAGGGTCAGAATGGCTCGACGTGTCAGCTCATCTAGTTTGTATAATTAATAATATCCCCCACTTCGGCTTATAGAAATATGTACACTACTGCTGATTAGTTTTATTGTGGTTTAGGATATCGGTCGTTTGATGACTGATTCTTAAATTGTAGTATGTATGTTAGTTCGTCATTTTAAGGGATGGTGATTTTTTGATCTAGAAATATAAAGTACTCATACGGAGCTTCAAACTGAGGTATCACATGATCCCCACTTTATTTAAAAAACTGTAATAGAATAGCTCCCAGCTCCCATCTGGAAGTTTTCAACTTTTTTTACACTTTCGTGCATGAATTTCAGCTTGCTAATTCGACCGTATCAAAAAATAACTTGCGTGACGTCCATGCAACTTTCTGTTCGAAGTCTTATTTCGGTACGAAATGGATAAATTAAATTTAATCACGGTACGCGGTACTCCGATCAACATTTTACCTGGCAACTGTGTAATTTAGTAGAGGAGAATTGTGGGCTTTCATGGACAACAGTATTATCACTTTTTTATCCTCAACAGGTCACGCGGGCGAGAGAGGCCTGACTGGACCGCCAGGTCCAAAAGGTTCTCACGGTGAGCCTGGAAGACCAGGTCAAGTAGGCCTGCAAGGAATTAGGGGATTGACTGGGAAACCTGGAATGCCCGGTAAACCTGGAGCGCCTGGGGAGAGAGGACCTTCTGGGCAAGATGGGAAGCCGGGACAGCAGGGCCCTCAAGGGTTGCAAGGATTACCAGGTCCTTTGGGACCACCAGGAGCTAAAGGGCTGATGGGCGAACCTGGGAAAGATGGTGAAACTGGACAACCCGGACCTCCTGGTCCTAGAGGAGACTCCGGAAAGGATGGAGATTCAGGACCTCCTGGACCCCCCGGGCCTCCAGGTCTAGACGGAGAACGAGGACCATCCGGTATTGATGGACCCAGAGGGTTCCAGGTACATATTCTCATTTCAATTACCCTTTTGTGCTTTTTGAAGCGCTACCTGGAAGCTCAGATTTCAATAACTTAGTTTTGACCCAAAAGTAGAATAATAAGCTAATTCAAAATTCTTCCCTATAAAAGTAATACCCACCGAAGTTTTAAGAAAAGGTTGTTGCATTTTGAATTAGGGATTACCAGGAACACCTGGAAATCCAGGTCCACCTGGCAAGGATGGCGAGGCGGGACCCCAAGGACCTGCTGGAAATCCAGGAAACCAAGGACAGAGAGGAGAAAGAGGCTTCCCTGGTGAGAGGGGACCAATAGGGCAACCAGGTTTACCAGGGCCAAAAGGAAGCACTGGGTCTCAAGGAGCAGATGGACTTCCGGTAAGGCCCTTTTTACATTTAATTTTGTACACCTGCTGTTTCAAAATGGTGATAGTAAGAAATGAGTGATAGGTTGATTGGGAAAAGAGCTGCGTATTTAGGTAACTAAGAAAACTTATCGTACTCTATAATGTATAATATGATTTCAATATGACATTTGATCTCTCGTTATTAATCTTCAAGCTTATCTTTTCTTATTTGGTAGATGCCATATTGGATGATCAAGTGAGTAGGGGCGTCCTTAATTCCAATTCCAAAAATGTATACTATGTCAGATTATCAAATAGTTATTTATTTAATAATATTAGAGAGATTTTAGTGCTCTTGTTTTGCCGCTTCGTTATCATCTTCCGTATTTCGTTTTTGCGCAGTAGTTAAATAATCCTTTGCTCTCCGTTATCGAAACAAGAAAGCTCCCTTAGTTACGAAGAGTAGGGAAAAGCTTATTTCGTTATTTTTTTCCTTATTCAGCGCTATTGCCGGAATTCGTAAAGTTGGGTAAGCTCAATGAAAATAGTTTCAAGTTATAAGAACTCATTAGTTAAAATATAATGAAATACGAGGTTTGGATTAGACAAAAATCAATACAACAAATGGGCAGTGTTCTACATGAGCTGAGTTGGCCTGATTTTTGTTATATAATTATCCAATGTGGCAAGGTAGCCTTTTGTTATAGTTCTGCCGGTTTTACGGTCTCTTGTCATTCTGTGGCTCTGGACGTTTCCCTCAGCCTATACGAAAACAACAATTAGCAACATCCTCACATACTACTCTCCTGATGATGATGGCAAAGTCCATTGAAAGCTAGAGAGAATTAAAAAAAGTACAAAGAGACCTCTTTGCTTAAATTTTGTCGAAGTACCCAACAAAAGGCGGAAGCTTTAATTTTTCACCTAACTGGTCTAGACGACAATGACCACGTCTCAAGTTATAAATATATATATATATATATATATATATATATATATTATACATTTTTCGAGTCAGACTTGCCTATTCACCTGAGCAAAAATCGAATATGGTGTCCTTACAAAAAATAAAGTTGATTATTGAGGACAATAGATGAAACATCAAATACAAATATTAATTTTAATGCACTTGGTAGAGGAGAAAAAGTAGCAGTGTTACCAAAATAATGTCAGGAATAAATAATACGATGTTGGGAAAATTCAGTTATTCTTGTCTCACTCACTAAGTATCATTTTCTTAGTGACCGTTTTCAAGATTCTAGTGGCGCGAGTAAAATTTGGAACAACTGATATACCCTCTCTCCTACTGTCAGAAGAGACAAAGATGATCAATAATGGAGCATGAACACAGTAGCTTATTACGCCTCATATATCCCAAAATTTAAGGGACCCACAGGGCCACGCGGTATGAAGGGCCATTCAGGACCACCAGGTCTAGTGGGTCTACCAGGATTGAGAGGACAACCAGGCGCACAAGGTGAAAAAGGAGAAAGAGGTGCATTGGGTCCAGTAGGACCAGAGGGACCACCAGGAAGACAGGGTGAAAGAGGTCTGATGGGACCTGTGGGGCCAGTTGGAGCCCCTGGAGAACCAGCTGCACCTGGAGAGCCTGGAACACCTGGACAGCCTGGAGAGCCAGGCGCACAGGGCTCTCCTGGAGAAAGAGGACCCCCAGGTCCACAAGGTGAGTTTTGTGTACAAGATAACCTTTAGTTGAAGGTTTAAGTAAGGCACCTGTTATTACGAGTGAATAAAAACATTTTTGAGGATGATTCTGAATGTAGAGCTGTTAAATATTTTCCACTATTCTTCTAGCAAATGAACAGGTGCAATATTTTGTCTTCACACATTGATCGCCTTGTCAATCTCTGGTGACTGACACTGGACTATTCCAACGGTACAGTGTCAGTCGTCAGGACTTACACTAAATATCTACATTTAATTTGTTATTTAGCTGTCAGTCATGAGTTCTGTGTTCAATTATATTGAGTTTTCCTAACTAATGCATCGAAATAAATAAAATATTTATATCCTTGAGTTTCTTACGCTGGCGTTCAATGTGTTAAAGAAAAAGATGAGAGACCTATTCAATTTATACATATTTATGTTCTGCTTTACCTCACCCTGTCATTGCTGCTTGCTTGTCGTAATGAATAAAATGAATAGATAATTAAATAAATTATCGAAACTCAATAGAAACTTTATTCCAATAGGAGTGCAAGGTTTTCCTGGCCCTCAAGGCCTTGTCGGACTTCCTGGAGCGAAAGGAGAACGTGGAGGTCTAGGAATGAAGGGAGCCCAAGGTAACCTGGGCCCCTCAGGTAGACCTGGAGAACCCGGTCCTCAAGGACCAATAGGACTGACGGGTGCCAAAGGAGCTAGAGGCGAGCCTGGACAAAGAGGAGATGTCGGACTTATGGGACCTCCAGGGAGACCTGGAGAACTAGGACAGCCGGTGAGCTATAAATTAGAACTTTAAATGAAACTTTTGTGTATCTCAACGTACCCTAATTTGTATACGGGATCAATTAAAAAAAAAAATTAATAGACAATGTTAGGAATAGGCGTTTTGTGGCAACCTCTCTAACGAATGCAACCCAGTGAAAACTATTGCTTTTAATAATATGAAGAGAAATAGCCAAAAATAACTACTAGAAGCCCAGAAAGCGCCGGAAAATCTGCTTCACCTTTCCTAAAGTACACTAAAAACCCACTATCGAAAAAAATTTCTTTCATTAATTTTGCATAGAAATTCTGATAGTTTGAAGATTAATAAATATTTTCAGGATGCTTAACATTAGTCGAAGTTATTGAATATACAAAATATTGGGCATACACATAACTATCCTAAAAATAGGGAGTAGAAAGTATGTGAACAATGCATTTGTACGTTTTTCAATGTTATTACAACCCATACCCAAACATTTCTCTTCTGGAAACGTACGCAACCCAGTGAAAACAAGGTTCATGTTGTGAAGTAGTTAAACATATTTTTTAAGATCCGAAAAGTGCGGGGTAATCGAGTGCGGCATCCGTAAGATACTCTAATGACTCCATATCGATTAATAAAATCTTCAACGAATTCTGCATAAAACTTTTGATAGTTCTACGGTAAATAGTTCTAGGATAACTAATGGTAACTGAGGCCACTGAGTATACAATAAATATATTGTTACACACATCCCAAGTATGGGTAAAATGTTTTCACGTTTTTCAAAGATATGCGTATCATTATCCGTCCGACTAGAAAGCATCATGTTTGCTTTGTTCAATGGCAAGTAGACCCTATCTACTTTGCAGTCATCTAGCGGCCCCGTGTGGACTTTGCTATTAAGCACGAGCTGAGAAACCTAACAGTTCCAACTAATAGCAGCTATGCGCTCTTAGCAGGATAGCTGCGATGCTTTGTAAGTTGTCCCACACACGAGAGACCAAGCCTAGGCCATGCTGATCAGTAGCCAAGAAGCACGAAACAACCATCTATGATTGGATGTATTTTGGTCGGAGGGACGGAAGCATCATGTTTGGTTTGTTCAATGGCAAGCAGGCTACATCTACTTTACAGCCAGAACCGCCAGCCATCTAGTGGCCAAGTGGTGACTGTGCTATTAAACGCAAGCTGAGATCCCTAACAGGTCCAACTAATTGCAGCTATGCAGTCAATGACTTTATCTTTAAATTATCAAAATTTACATACAAAATTGATTATTATTCAATAGGGATGATTTCTGTATCTTGTAGGGATGCCGATTTTCCAATAAGTATTTTTCAATTACTTCTAATCATAAACGGTAATTTTATAATTTTCACTGTGTGGCACTTCTTACTATAGGGGGCATTTTTTAGATAATGGTACTCAAGAGTATCTTTGGGAAGCTTGGAAACGCAATTTTCACATACTTTCTACCCCCGATTAGTAGTAGGGAGGGTAGTTCTATGTACATATATCCAACGTTTTGTATATTCGCTGACTTTGTTTACAGAATTGATTAAGAGTTAAGAGGTGACGCACTAGATTCCCCCCCCCTCCCCTTCAACTTTCTAATACGTGCCTTTTACTCTTTCATTAAAAAAAAGCCTGTTTTTAACATTCTCCTTTAAGACTTACTTTGTTGTAGGGCCAACCAGGCAGTCAAGGGCTTCCCGGACCTCAAGGTATTTCAGGCATTAAGGGAGCAGCTGGAGAACCAGGAAGGACAGGCTTACCGGGACTACAAGGGTTACCAGGCGCACCTGGGCCTGAAGGACCAAAAGGAGAGAGTGGTGCAGAAGGACCGCAAGGACCAATTGGACAACCAGGACCTCAGGGATCATCAGGTAGATGCACTAACACTATAACAAGTATCAATAGCACATCATCGGTATTTCTTGGTTATTATCTGCAATCTATTGTCTTCCAGGTGACCGAGGCCTGCCTGGCCTTCCAGGGCCACCGGGTCCAGCGGGTGGGCGAGGTCTACGTGGGGCTCCAGGAGAACCGGGAGTAGCAGGCAAACCAGGAAATGAAGGTCCTCCGGGAACTATAGGACCGGTAGGTCCACCAGGATTACCAGGTCCTAGCGGAGATCAAGGTGCAGAAGGGCCTCCTGGGAAGCCAGGAGCACCGGGTGTCGCTGGCAGGAATGGAGATAAGGGACCTCCTGGACAGCCTGGGCAGTCTGGACCTAATGGTCCACCAGGATTGCCTGTAAGTTCTTAAAACTACCGATCGACCGATCTAGGATTTTCTCCGATAACGACATGACACAAGCCGATATATAGGCTACATCGGCCCATCGGCTGTTCGTTCCGCGCACAATCACCTCTACACGTATATCGCTTTATAAAGCACGAAGGCCGCAATCGCTTCTATGCAAGTCATAATATTTACCTGAACAACTTTGGTTGTATAAAGTTTAGTACTCCATAAAAATGGCAAAAATAGGAAAAGTGTGTCTGGGCATATTTGGTCAAAATTTCCTATCAAAAACACTGGGTAATCAACAATTTCTGTATCACTGCTTATATTGGTTTTACTCGTGGTTTAAGAAAAGCCTTTCCTTCTTAAAGCTTTTCGTCAGAGAAGTATTTCTATGAAACTATCATGGCGCATATATTTCAAAGATGCGAATCATGTGTCGTTCAAATTCAATGAAGTGCGTTGTTTCAAATCTAACAACGAACATTCAAATTATGTGTTTATTTTCAAAATTACACTTAGAGTACGACTTTCTTTCAATAAGGCAGCAAAACAACTGCATTGTCCTTAATAGTTCCTGTTTTTTATAGTTAATATTTTCTATGCTAAGCTTTGTATTTTATTACCTATTTTATATTCAACAATATGAAAGGCTATTTATCTTGATTTATATCGGTCGACCTATATCGGCATACGAGCAGTCATATCGGCCAAAATAGTGCCCATATAATAATAATAATAATAATAATAATAATAACAATGATAATAAATGGCCTTTATTTTACCTGGCGTGTTACATCAGCACAAGCTGTTTTTCAGAATCAAAAAGGGCTAAAAAAAATTCAATTACATGCAAATACAAAAAATACACCACAGAAAATAATAAAATTTAAAGCAGAAAAAAATTTTTTTTACTGAATCGTAGCCTATGCATGGTATAATGACCAAAAGACCAAAAGAAAAACGTGCATCAACAGAGTACGTAGCAGAATCAAAAACCATGCTTAGAAGTAACTTAAAAAAAAAGAAAATATTAGGTATATGGCATAAAAATTAAAAGTAAAAAGAAAAAAATGAAAAGTGACAAGTGAGAAAACATGCACAAATAAACAAATATAAAAATAAAATTACATAAAAATACATGCTACATGTCATCAAAGACAAAGAGCCTAACTTTTCTTTTAAAGCTGGACACATAGTTTTCAAAGCTTGAGGTACTTTATTGTAGAAATCGGGCGCCAAATATGAAAAGCTCTTTCTGAATTGGGTTGTTCGGTGCCTACAAAACGCAGGTTCGCTGAGTGATGATCACATCTCATGGTAAGCTTGTTCTTCAAATAAAGAGGCATTTTATTTATCAGAATACTGTGGACCAATGATAATAGATGCAGTATCCACCTTTGTCGCATAGTAAGCCGTTGAATATTTTTAATATGATTAGATACCCTCTCCCGCCTTTGAATACCTAAACTGAATCTTATGCAGCTGTTTTGCACTTTTTGTAGTCTGTATGCCTCGCTCTGTATTAGACATGGACCATAGACAAGGTCCCCGTATTCAAGCTTACTTAGGATAAAGGAGTCACACAGCTTAACCTTGATCTGCTTGGACAATACATTTTTATAGCTATAAATTGACTTCAACTTAGCATAGGAACCCTGAACAGCTTTGGTCACATGATCATGGAAGCACAGGTTCTCATCAAATGTGATGCCCAAGTTGCGAACCGATGTCTAGTGGCAAAGTTCATCACCTCCAATACACAGCTTTATTAATTCACTATTGAATTTGCTGAATTTAGATTTAATAGTTATGATAGCCGACTTTCTAGGGTTAATACATAAGCCATGTTTGTTTTACCACACACATATACTATTTAAATCCTCAGACAGCATCTCATTCGCTTCCGTGTACATAGCAGGGTTGTAAGATAGATAAATCTGTGTATCAGCGGCGTAGGTATGTAATTTGCAGTATTTAGTGATTTTATCTAAGTCCGCTACATAAACAGAAAACAGAATAGGTCCAAGAATAGACCCCTGTGGTACACTTTTGGAGATAGTACCCTCCTGTGATAAGATGTCACCGATTTTTACCTGCTGAATGCGTTCATGAAAATAACTGCGAAACGAATTAATCGAACTATCGGAGAAGCCAAGATAATGAAATTTTGCAAAAAGTAGTTCATGGTTGAGGCAATCAAAGGCCTTACTTAGATCTATCATGTAGTAGTAGTAACTTTAGAATTATCTATTTCCCCTATGAAGTCGTCACAGACATCGAGCACAGTTGTTACGGTGCTGTGGTTTTTTCGAAACCCCGACTGCGTAGCTGGAATTATCTTAAAGGTAGTGACGTGCTGCTTCAATTGCTCATATACAATTTTTTCTAATACTTTTGATAACACTGGAAGGATACTAATTGGTCTATAATCATCAGGTCCTTCCGGAGCATCAATTTTAGCAAGAGGCCTAACGCATGCGGTTTTCCAAATTTTAGGAACTAACCCGAGCGAATAGTTAATTACATGAGTAATCGCTTTAGAACAAAAAGGAAACACTAGAGCTAACATACTTATATTCAAACCATCTAGTCCAACCGCCCGAGGTTTTATTTTATTGAAAATCTGTAATATTTTAACCTCCGTGACCGGTTTTCACTGAAACAAGTTGTCTATATTGATGGCAAAACATTGCTATTGTAGAGATGAATAATACTGGTATCCACACAATTATCTGGAATGGAATTTAGGAAATATTTGTTCACTAAATCAGGTTGCAATGTGCATTTTAAAGTATCTTTAACAGGATTATGTACACCTAGTTGTTTGATGGTCCGCCACCAATCACGGGAACTTCTACTTTCTTTAAGCTGCATTTTTTTCTCTTCTTATGAAAGATGTTACAACATTTCTGAGTTGTTTATAATAAACCCATTTGACATTGATCAAATCTGCAGAAAGAGCATGCCTTACCCCTTTTTTATATTTCATATATGCATTGTTTCTCAATCTCATCACGAACTTAATGTTTTGGGTGATCCAAGGATAGCGTGGCTTTGTTACTTTTACTGTTTTGATGGGCGCGCATATGTCTAGCAAAATATTAATCAAGTAGCTTAACTTGGTTTCAAGATCTTCGAAGTTGATTACTCCTAACCAGTACATTGATGAAGCTACCTCATCAAGTAAGTTGGTATCTAAATTCCTTAAATCGCGGATACGTATATATGTTTGTCTGTAAAAGCTGGCTGGATAATCTGTACACAAGTATACCAAATAATGATCCTTACAGCTTCGGTTTTCGTGATGTTTAAGTTTTTATCTACGAATACCACATCTATCAAACTTCTGCTGTTATCTGTTACTCTTGTTTCCTGACTTACTGTTTGATTCAAATTGAAATCCTCGAAAATTTTTTATATGAATAAATAGTCCAGGCCTTGTTTATTCAAAACATTTATATTTAGATCACCTATACATACTATATGATCAGATGATGTGAAAACAGTAAGTAGTGAGTCTTCCAGGCTTGTCAAAGCTGTACGTATATAATCAACATTGGGAGGTTTGTACACAACACCCACAGCAAATGCTTTTTTGTTTATTTTAACCCTAACCCAAAGCTGTTCAAGGCCCTCTTGTGTTGCAAAGTTAAAATCAGATACTTGGAAGCAATGCAGTCCTTTTCTCATATAGAGAGCGACTCCATCGCCCCTCCTATCTTTCCTGTCACATCTAAACAACTGAAATCCCGAAACATGGATATCGTTATCAATGATGTGTGGTTTGAGCCACGTTTCGGTGAATCCGATGATATCAAAATTTTGCGACAACACATAATCTTTAACATCACAAAAACAGCTAGTAAGTGATTTAATATTTAAACATTCTATGATCAAATTATGCTCTGCGCCTTCGATGACATCAAATTCTGATAATACAGTCATTTAAAAATACAGCAAAAAAAAGTTTTTTAAGAAGTTTGAGATAAAGTTGAAGTTGAAATGGGATAAAATTCAAGTAAAAATTAAAACAGAAATTAAATAAAATGCGCTTATCTATTCGAAGTAATTTGTCTTACTTCGTATAAGATCCTCATGTTTTTGCAAACACAGACAATTACTATCCCACACAGCGTGGTTCGTATCTAGCGTTTTATCTTGTTTTTCATTAATAGACAGACAGTTTATACACATGATGATTTGCTTTTACACTGCTTCCGTTCATGACTGCCAGCACAAAAAGGGCATACAAATGCATTTTTACATTTTTTTTAAATATGGCCATACTGACAACACTTGAAACAGCGTGTCACTGACAAATGCTCATAAATACATCTATCCCCTCCAATATTTAACTTCCCTTCCCCCATCACTGACTGATGTGACTTAGGGTCTAGCTCCATAACAATGTCAAATTTTGCACCTTTAATTGGAAACTTATATACTATATGAACAGCATCATCATGGCTGACAAGTCTGCTATTTTGATTCACAGGTTTGCTTCTAAGAACTTGAGAATCAACATCATACTGATCTTTGTTAACACCTATCACTCTAATTCGAGGATTTCGCTTTTTTGGCAGTTGAACAGAGCAATTGCCTGACAAATTGGTTTCAATCAATTTCTTAATTATTGCTAACGACCGTTGGTTATCGCACTTTAGAACAATGTCACCGTTATTATTAGCTTTATTGATTTGCACACCGACTTGGAGACATTCAGGATTTACCTTACTCAGCAGTTTCTGCTTCAAGGATGCTACATCGATGTTACTGTTAGACTTCACCAGCAATACATGACCTCTACTCATGTTTCCCTTTACAGCATTGCTGTAAGAAACCTTAGGCTCACCAACGACCATGTTTGTTTCTCTATTCTTCTCATTCTCCTCCAGTTTTTTACATAAATCAGCAACGGTTGTAGCGAGCTCTTGGTAGATATGTACATCGTTATCGGTCGATCCCTACCGCAAACCCCCAATTTAAAACTTACATTTGTTTAACACAATTACCTCAAATTGCCCCAACCCTCAGCGTCCACTAATAAGTTGAAGACATTTGTTATTTATAGGGTCCTCCAGGATCAGTAGGACCTACTGGCCTGACAGGTGAACGCGGACCAAGAGGGGAGCCGGGACCACAAGGAGCTGACGGACAGCCAGGGGAACGAGGAAAGATGGGTCCTCAGGGCCCAGAAGGACCAAAGGGAGACCTCGGAGAAGTCGGACCAAAAGGAGCCAAAGGTCATCGAGGCTTGATGGGATTACAAGGAATGCAAGGTAATCCAGGGCCTCAAGGTGAAAGAGGATTGCAAGGTGAACCGGGCCAACCTGGCAAAGAAGGAGAAATGGGACCACGAGGACCTCCTGGAAGGGATGGCTCGCCAGGACCGCAGGGTGTCATGGGTCCACCGGGACCAAGAGGAGAGACTGGAGGTGATGGAAGAGCAGGGCCAGTTGGACCATCAGGTAGGAATAGACAGATTTTAATTAACGTAGATAACTAGTTAACACATGAAAACACTCTTCTGTAGGTCCTCCAGGCCCACCTGGACCTCCAGGTGAAGGCCTTAGCTACGACGCTGCCGGACTAGCAGCTCTTTTGGCCCGAGCGCAACAGAGTCAAGACAAAGGGCCCGATCCCATGTCAGATCAACCACCACGTCTGTTTGGCAAAGAATTGACCGAAGAAGAAACGAGGGAATTGATCGATAAGGCATACGAGCAGCTCAAGGCATCTTTCGACAGGTTGAGAAGGCCTAACGGACAGAAGAGCTCGCCTGGAAAGACTTGTAGGGATATCTTCGCTGCATATCCAGAATCACAAAGTGGTAAGTCACAAATTTTACAAATGGGTCTAGGTAATTAACGTTGCGACCGTTTGGTGCAATATGGAACTAACATATAGGGGTCCTTTCTGTTCAGCTTTATCAAATATTATTATCTGCCAGGTCAATATTGGGTAGATCCAAACGAAGGGGATATCAAAGACGCTATCTTGGTCCACTGTGACATGGAGAAAAAAGCAACGTGTGTGATGCCAAAACCAAGCCGATCCCCAGAAATACGATATGAAGGAAAGGATCCTGAAATCTGGCTGGGAGAAATTGATCATGGAATGAAGGTAAATATACTCGTATATCCATTCCAATGAAAATTGAGAAAAAATTGACCATTCAGATCATATATTCGAATAAGCATTTTGTTTGAAACGTCCTTACATTATTTAACCTTATTCAACATCTTTTTCATTAAATATCATTAATTTACACAACAAAGTTACTGTGGGATTTAAATTTGGTACCATATTTCAGCAACTTAACTTTTGATTTTACTCGTGTGTCATCTGACGACCCGGAAACTGAATTATGGATCAGTTTGTGACAAAAGAACGTACCACACTTGTGCTGGAACCATTTAATCACATTTGTTTAAAGAACATTACAATGGTGAGGCAGTAAACGGGCGCTACTATTAGTAAAGACTTTTCGCTGCCCCAACTGAATAATATGCAACTTAACATTATATTCTTTCAACAAGATAAAACAAAGTATCACACGAGTAGGGAAAAGTTTTCCTGGTGGCAGTGTGACTTCTCGTAATGGCGATGTCTGATGGACTGCATTCAGTCTAACATCGATTAACAATTTTTGACGATATTTCTCAAAATTAAAGGCTATTCAAATTGAGCCAAACATGTTTCAAAAGGCTACTGAACATTTTTGTGGGTCACCTGTAGGGACAGTTGAGGATGCAACCTTAGCCCCCATATTTTTACATTGCGGTAATATAAACAAACATGATGTTTCCAAAATTGTCGGTCTCATTTAAATCCCGTAGTGTACAGGGTGGCCAACTAAGAATGTGAGGAACTCTATCTGGGAACCTATCAAACGTAGAGGCTTGCGGCATAAACAGTTATTATCAAAACGGCCAAGAGAAAAACGAGGAAAATATTTTCAAGTTTCTGAAATGGCCGCCAGGGGGCGTAACTGCAAGCTTGATTTTAAAAAAGTGATGTTTCTGTGAATTCCGCTATATTAACCTAATAAAAAAATAACTGATCTTTCAACTCGAGGATAATCTAATTCTTTTCTGTTCGACAAGTTTGGCTGTACCTCTGAAACTAACAAAACAACTTCAAATATTATAACACTTGTAGCCCAAGAATAGCTCTTTTCAATTAGCCCAAGTTTGTTAAAGTCGGCTCAGCCATTTCGAAGATACAGGGTGTTTTTTAAGGAAACCTTTGAATACCCTCCACCACGTTATTTTTAGAGATACAGCAACAATTGTCAGGCAATAAAAGTTCACATTATCCTCGACTTTTGAGATCAGGTAATTTTTTGTTAAGTTTATATAGCCGAATTTACAGAAACATCAGCTTTTTGGATTTAAGATTGCAGTTGCGCCCCTAGCGGCCATTTCAGAAACTTATTTTCCAAGTTTTTCTCTTGACCATTTCAGTAAGAACTTTTTTTGTCGCAAGCTTCTACGATGGATCGGTTTCCAGTTACAGTACCTCGCATTCCTAGTTGGCCACCCTGTACAATGGTACTTTGCCGTAATGAATAGTATAATTGATTCTTTATATGGAAGGTGCACATTTGAAGAACGCACCTAAGGGTGTATAGCAGGGTGTCCCAACCTTTTTTTTGTTGAGGCTCCCCGGACTATAAATTATTATATTTTCATGCCACCCTCTATATATAACATTTTCAAAAAAAAGTTGAAGCTTTGATATGAACCCCTGAATATAATCATAGTTGCTTATTATAGTGTTGTCTCCGCACTGAAGTTTCAAGTTTAGCTCATTCAACGAGTCAAATATGTCAGTAAAATAAGAAGTTCTCGTGTTTTTCTTTGAACTCAAGAAAAAGAATTACCTCTTCTTTCAATTCATAAAGGCGGGCCAACATGTTGTCTTTGGACGGCCAGCATACTTCTGTATGGAACTTTGTGATCAAAATCGAGATCCTCGCAAAGTAAAGTAAATAACCGACTGTTCAAAGCGCTGTTCTTCATGTAGTTTACAACCCTTATAGCCGAGTCCAAAGTCTGGCATAATTTCTGTGGCAATGTTTTGGAAGCCAAAGCTTGCCGATGAATAACATAATGTGTACTAACCATTGCGGGATTTTTTTCTTTGGGCTTTTCAGCTAAGCCCGATCGTACACCTATCATTATCAGGTGCGCCATCTGTGCAAAGTCCAATGAGTTTCTTCCAATTCCAACCATTTTTTTCAACAAAATTTGATATTGAATTAAATACCTGTATATCTTCAGGTGTAGTACCTGCCGTCAAAGATTGGGAGTACAAAATCTCTTCTTGAATGATATGTCCGCCGATGTAGTGAACATAAGCTATTAACTGTGAACAATTAACGATGTCGGTGGATTCATCGCAACTAATGGCAAAAAATGGCGATAATTTTACTTTGTTAAATATTTGTGACTTTATATCTGCTGCAATGTCATCGATTATACGCTTGGCTGTGTTATTCGAAAGAGAAATACATTTTTTGATCTGCATCTTCTCCTAAAATTATCTGCGTGGCTTTTAGGACACATGGTTTAATTAATTCTTCACCGATAGTTTGAAGCTTCTTTTGCTTTGCTATCAAGCTATTTCAATTGAAGCTTTGAGATGCTGCGATACACCTGTGTGATAACTTTTCGATTTATCCAGTCTTGCTCGCTTGAGTGATTCTGCTTTAGAAGAAAAAACTCTTTCCTTTACAAAACCAGAGTAGGATGTTGTTGCTTCAAATGCCTTTCAAGGCGATTGGGCCTCATGCTATCATTACTTAAAACTTTAATACATATCACACACTGAGGCAATTGTAACTCGTCTTTTTCTATGAAGGTAAATCCAAACTTAACGTAATGTTCGGAAAACTTTCTTTTTTTTTCGCTGCCATTTTGCACCTATAACAATAAAACAAAATAAGTAATAAATACATAAGCAAAATACCTACATGTAATTACTAAATATAAGTATGCCCATTATTTTATCTTAATCACTTAATGTAGTAATGTACTCAACAGTATATTGGCCACCGGGAGATTTATATATTTGTAGGCAGGTTGACATTATAATAGTTACTTTAAATTTAGTTGGAATCAATATTAGGTACTTAAAGTTCGTCGATTCAAAATTATTTCGCCACGTTGGTTTGACTGTGATGTGGTTAAACATTCCCAGTGGCCGATCTGCGAACGCGTCTCCACTCAATCAACAATTTAGTAAATTAAATAAAAATGGTAAGTGAACTTTTTAAATACACAAGCTTACCTTTTAACAGTGAGACACGATAATTTGACACACTCAAACAGATTTCTCAACTAAACATGTACATCAAAACGTCAAATTTTTCGCAAGTTTATGGGAATGAATGTCACAGATGCCCATCCGCGTCTCACAATTGTTTTGTCACTTGTCGAAACTTGTATAAACAGAATAAGTGAATATAATATTTAATTTCTAATTTTATGCGTGTAAATTAAAATTACATTGCAATGTTATTTGTTAATGTTGTTTGTTTATTTTTTTTTGTTCTTTTTCTTCCTAAAATGCAAATGCTTCCGGCCCCCTTGACATCTCTTTATGCCCCCCTTCGGAGGCACGCCCACCTGGTTGGGAACTCTTGGTGTATAGCATGGTAATAATTTGATTTATTTTTGTAACCGTGGAAACCAGAACTTACTCGAAACCTCCTTGTTTCAGTTGACATATAAGTCGGACAGTATGCAGATAGGTTTCCTGCATCTGTTGTCATCTAAGGCAACTCAAAACATCACCTACCACTGTAGAAATTCAGCAGCCTACTATGATGCAGTTCATCATACGTACAGACGTGGTGTAAAGCTGATGAGCTGGAATGATATCGAGATAACGCCAAAAGGAAACAAGATGAGATACGAAGCTGTTATTGATGAATGCAAGGTAAAGTAATTTACGTATAATCTATTTTGTCTTTACCGTATAGTCACATGGGGCACGTGCCCAGGGCCCCGGCTTGATGATATCCCTATTGCCCAATAATAAACAAAAATTCCAGAAACATCTCTCCTCACTTCTCTCTTCTATTTTTTCCAACGGTAAGGTAGGTAGAGTCACGATTTTGCACTGCCGTGGAGTTCCTTCAGCCGTATGGACTGCTGTTAGCTCAGGGGCTCCTACATGGATTAAGGAGGCTTCGCTTATATAGTGGATACCAAATAAAATCCGATGCACGTCATAGGTGATGTCATTCATAAAACTCATGGTTACCAACAGTTGACTACATTCAATGTGACATTTCTACTTGAAGTTTAAATTTCCCCGTCTCGATTCGGTTGGTAGTGCCGTGCAGAGAAATGTGAGGTTGCCACTTCTCATTTGTTGACATCAGTTGCCATTGTCCTTTTGTCGTACTATTAGTTCTTTATTGTTTAGTTTGTGAGTTTTGCGCTAATTGAGCTTTGAATCGTTGCCTTGCCAATTAAAAATTGTTCTTTTCAGAACAACAGTTACTGTGAAGTGGTGTAAAGTATCCAAGCGAACTGTTAGAAGTACAAAAGCTGATGGAAAAAGGTGGGCTTTCAAATGTATAGAAAAATAAGCTCTATATAAAAATGAAATGCATTTGTAGGTATATCATAGGTCACGCTGGCAATGAAAATGGATTTGTTGAAGGTGCGTCGCTTATATTTTCATCGAAAACCCAGCTTAATGATTACCGTGGTGAAATGAACCAGCAAAACTTTTTATATTGGTTTGAAAATCAATTACTAATAAGCTTGACCCAACCCTCTGTGATTGTTATGGATAATCCATCATACCATAGCATGTTATTAGTAAAAACTCCCAATAGCTCATGGAGAAAGGATGAAATTCAGAATTGGTTAACTGAACAAAAAATACAGTATCCACATGAAGCATTCAAATCTGAACTTCTAGCGATTGTTGCACAGTGAGCAGAATACCCAATCTTTATGCATTTTGTTCCTATTTATTTTTTTTGGGAATTAACCAACCAAAATGTATGTGGTCGATAACTTGGCAGAACAATATGGACATAAAGTTTTACGGTTACCTCCATACCACTGTATTTTTAACCCAATTGAGCTAATTAAAGATTACTATAATCGGCATATTGGAAGAGATGGCCACACGGAAAATGACCTAAAAATGTGGCAAGAGGCACTCCAAACTATTACCCCTGATATGTGGAAGAACTCCATTAGACATACAGAGGAGATAATTATGAAATGGTATAGAAGGGAACAAGTAATGGATAGACAGGAAATTCTTCCCCTTATTATCCATGTTAACGATGACTCTGATTCCAGTGATTCAGAATAGTTAAAACATCAAAATATATTCTGTATAATGTAATCAAACTCCGGAATTGATATACAACTGAACCATACCATGCGGTTAATATCAGGCTCGATAAAGAGTACTCCTTGCCGCTAGTTGCCGGTATTGTGTAACATCGCATCACCCGAGTTCTTTCTTCTCTTTGATGTGAATTGAAAAACTGTTGTAGTTCCCATATCATAAATAAATAATCAAATTAATTAAAATACGAGAAAACAATTTATGTTCTTTAAATATTTTGTGTTTTTGAATATCTACCAAATCAGGTGTTTTTATTCAGAAATGAATTTAATTTTACAACAAGTTTATTTATTTTTAATATAATGGTATTATAGTAAATGGTAGGTATATATAAACAATTTATTTTATTAAATTTATTTGCTTAAAAGAAAATGTGCAAATTCTGGCAACAGCGCACAGCTCCACATCGATGACGTGCATCGGGTTTTATTTGGTATCCTCTATAGCATTCGTTAAATACGTCATATTGTGTAGTTATTTTTATAGTCGCCTACCTCTGCCTAAAGTGCTTCGCGGTATGGCTTGATCTACTTCAATGTGATAGGTAGCTTTATAGTATGTGTTACTATTAGATTCAGTTTAGCGGACATTCAATGGGTGATTCTTTAGACAAGCTTAATACTTTTTTTATTAGTAAAAAAGTAAAGCGGCTCGTTATACAAAACTCTTATCCGTCGTCGTTTATAAGGAATATATGGAGATTGTACGACCTCCGAACTTTCGTAAATTACGAGGTGCACTCTAATCTGAGAAAGAAGGACGGAGAAGTTGGGGCTTTTGTCCGCAGCAGTCCTTCCTGCTCCAGAGACATTTCTTTGGAATCAGACCGGAGGGAAATTCTGTGGCCTTAACTTAAAAATATCCCTCAAATTTATTAGCTGCCTTTATCGCTCTCCCACCCACCACATCTGGGACGACATACTTGAATACCTCGCTGTCAAGGTCGACTTCCTGAACGTCAATCAATCCGCTACAGAGGTAGCTCTACTCTGTGATTTCAATGCCCATAATGAGCTTCGGTTGGGCTCAAACAAGACCAATGCTGCAGGACGTGCAGTCGAAGCGTTCGCTACTACCCAAGGACTCAACAAGCTGGTGACGAGCCCTACTTTTTACCTTCGCATTCCGTCAGACACCAGTAGCCTGCTGGATCTCATTCTGATCACGCAATCAGTCCCTTATAGCACTGCTGCCCTGCCTCCCCTGGATAACTCAGACCACGGTGTTAACCCGCTGTGGTAACAAGAAACTCGCTCAGGCCGCAAAATTTGGTATTACGGACATGCCGACTGGTAGGGGCTTAGAGACTCGATCTCGACCTTTCCTTGATGAGATGCTTGTTTCGCTGACGTGGATGCGTCGGCTGTCTGTTCATTAATAACCAAAATTATTAACCCTGGGATGGAGGAATACATCCCTCATACAGTGAGAGTGCCTAAACCAGGGTCCAACGGCTAGTTTAACTAATCGAGCGACACTGCTCGTCAACAGAAGATCAAGGCACACAGAACCTTCTCACCAAACCTCACAGTAGATAACATCAAGCCGATGTCGAGTCCAGGAACTAATCTAACTAAGCAATTCGCAATGCTAAAGACCAGCACGACATAAAAGTTAGGAACCGATTAATATCGCAGCGCAATGGAAGTCGATCTTACTGGACGCTGGCCTAGCAGATTGAGAGAAACTTTTTACAGAGTAGCCTTCCACCACCTACGTGTCATGATCGAACTTTAGTAACTGACTCAAATGCTAAGGCGAAAGTGCTTCCCAGCATATTTGCTGCCAACTCCACCTTTATTCCGGAAGTAACATTCAGACACAAGACCGCAAGCCAGGTGCTCTTGTCTCTCGACGTCGAGAAAGCTTCTGGTCGGGACTTGATTCCTGCCGTTGTATTGAAGAGTTGTTACTCTAGTTCTTTCGCGGTATGTTACGAATCCGGTAGCTTCCCAGAAAACTGAACATTTGCTGATGACCAACCTGTTCCAAAAAAGGACTCTAAGGCCGAACCTTACAGCTATAGGCCTATATTGCTCTGCTTTCTGTTATTAGTAAGGTGATGGAGAGGTGCATACATTCCGAGATTCTGAACAACCTCGAACGTCATGGCTTGATTAGTGACAGGCAATATGGTTTCAGGCATCAGCGATCCACAGGAGGCCTTCTAGCTTACGTCGCGCAATTGTGGAGTAGACGCATCCAGTCTTTGGTGATGCTCATGTCGTTGCTGTTGATATCACGCAAGGATTCGATCAGCTGTCGCACGCTGCCCTCTTTTGCAAACTTTCATCCTACGGACTCCCAGAGAGGCTTTGCAAATGGGTGGCTGACTTTCTCTCTGGATGTAAGATATCCGTTGTAATTGAGGGGTTCTCTTCATCCCTCAACGTCATCGCGGGTGTTCCCCAGTGATCGGTCTTTGCTCCGCCGCTTTTTGGACGAACAAAAAGCGTCCTAGCGCTGATCCGGTTTCAGTGGATGGCCGAGTTCTGTCAAAGAGCGGCAGCTGTTATGAGAAAGCTAGGCTATTTGTTCACATCCAAGAAGTTCTTCTCTGCCCATGACCTCCTCACTCTATAACACTTAGCTTCGAGCATTGCTCATACGTTTGGGGTGCTGCAGCTTTAATGATCGATGCGGTCCAGAAAAGGGCTGTCCGAGTGAACGATTACTGTTCTCTTACAAACAGTCTCGGGACCCTCTCTTCTAAAGCTACACCTACGGGCTTTGATTCACAGAGCTCTCCTCCATCATGCCACCGCGCGATATGCATGTCAGTCAGATCCGCCTGGCTTCGGCCTCCCATCCTAACCTTAGTATGTCCAGACCTGGCCAGTACGACCGCTCCTTTGCCGTGAGGGTGTCGGTATTGGTATTGTGGCAAAATCTACAAGAAGAGGCTTTTTCCACTTCTACTAACCTTAGACAGGGCAAAAATTGCATTAACAAAGCACCTTTGAGATCTTCATAGCAGCCGTGGTGTCCTGGTATTTAGTGTTCTGCTTGCGCGGCTGTTTAGGTGTAAAAAAGACTGAGAAATCGGATATGTAGCTCAATGAAGAATGTAGAATGTTTCAATTGTGGCTTTTGACTGATAGAACATGAAGCTATTTCTAAAACGTGAAGTCATTAATGTAACATCTGAAACTTATCTTGTTGCTTTCATGTTGATAATCCCACATATTTTTCTGGCTATGCGAAACCAACATGTTTCGGGAAATCTTCTTTATTGTAAACGTTACGGTCACAACGGAGACCTTCTTGTACAATGACTTTAGCACAATATATTTTTATGAGAGGTAAATAAAATATACTGTCGAAATCATTGTACTGAAGATGGTCACCATTGTGATCGAAACGTTTACAATAAAGAAGATTTTTTTTATTATTATCTCAAATTGTTTTTTCCCTCTTAGAAACTATCATGTACATCTTGACAATCATGCATTAGAGAAAGACAGTCTAGTAATTTTGATATAAATCATTATTATGATGACATTATACAGGGTATCGCGGAAGGTAAAGGATAACATTTTTTTACGTATTCCTCACGTCAATTCGAGTGGAAAAAGTCCTATAAACGTGGGTCCGCAAATGCTTCCTTATCGAGATAATGATTTTTTTATTTTTAGGGTGTTAATGGTGGGAAAACCGCAATATTGTTGGAAAATTACTTTTATTTAACTCAAAATTACTAGGTACAATAAAAATAACTATTCACAATACTTGTTCAAATTGTCCACCTTCACACTGTAAACATAGTCTAGCCCGTTTAATAATGTGACTGGTGGCTTTCCAAATAACAAGATGATTACTTTTTCTGTCGTCAGCGACATCAGTAATTTTACGGAGCAGTTCAGCCCTGGTATGCGATTTATCTGCATACACTAAAGACTTCATATGTCCCCACAAGTAATAATCAAAGGGATTTAAGTCGGGTGAGCGGGGTGGCCAAGAAACCGCGCCCCCTCGTCCAATCCAACGCCCAGGAAAAGTGTTATTTAAATACTTAGTCACATTTCTACCGTGGGGCGGAGCACCGTCATGCTGTGATCACATCTGTTGTCTTCTCTGCAGCGGAATATCCTCTAACAACACAGGCAGTTCTTCTCGTAAGAATTGAACGGACCGTCAAACACAAAAGGGCCAACTAAGTGATCCCCTAACAAACCGCACCAGACATTAACAGAAAAACGGTGTTGGAAATTCCGTTCGATAGTTGCGTGGAAATTTTCGAGCTGCCAAGAATGGGAATTCCTCAAATTATTGACGCCGACTCGAGTAAAAGTAGATTCGTCGGTGAACAAAATCTTTTTAACAAGATTACGATTTGCGAGGAGCCAGTTACAAAACTGCATACGAGGGTCCCGATCAGTGAGCAGCAGAGCTTGGACAGGTTGCAGATGTACAGACCAAGGTTATGCATTGTTCTATACACAGCCATTCGGCTAACACCAGTGCGACGTGATATTCTGCGGGCGCTGGTTGATGACGACCGTTCAACACTATCCAGTATTAAGTCATAGGCAGCTTCTGATGGACGTGTTACAGTAGCATTTGGAACCAATCATCTTGCTTGTGCCAAAACTCTTCCAAATACATGTGCCAAAACTCTTCCAAATACCCTTCTATCAGGTATTCTTCGATGTGGATACCGGCGGCGGTATTCGTTCACTGATGCTCTGCCATTTCCGTTGCAACATCCGTACTCAAACATCATGTCACCGTATTCCTCACTTGTAAAAACAAACACGACAGTAATTTCAAGTAAGTTCAATCAAACTGACACAACTACTCTGTCAACAAACAAACAAACACCAACGTATTAATCGGGCAGTACAACGTGAATGTGGACTTTAATTATAGTAAACAGTTGTTTTATTACGAACAGTATTAAATTTGTTGTTAAATAAAAGCAATTTTCCAACAATATTGTGGTTTTCACCCACTAAAAATAAAAAAATCATATCTCGATAAGGAAGCATTTTCATGTTTATACGACTTTTTCGACTTGAATAATTGACCTGAGGAACACCCAAAAAAATGTTGACCCTTACCTCGCGGGACACCCTGTATACAGGGTTTGTCCGGAAAGTAATAGGACTCATTTCCTTCCGCCATGACTGTACTTCGGAAAGTGCGCGCACCGACTGGATTCGGTAGAGGGCGTTCCTAGCTAACGAACGAGCGGCTGGTCAGTTGTCTCCGAGCACTTGAAGAGCCAGGACAGGCATTTTCGCGTGACGTGTTTCTGTGAGTGGTGCAAGCCGAAAATGCAGTGTTCGTTAGAGCAGAGGTACGCGATTAAATTCTGTGTGAAACTCGATAAATCTGCGACAGATACGTTTGATATGATCAAGTAGGCTTACCCAGGTGTTGCTTTAGCAAGAAGTGGTGTGTTTCGGTGGCACCAGGCCTTTTTGGAGGGCCGAGAAGAGGTCGCTGATGAAGACCGTGCTGGAAGACCTTCGACTTCGACAAACACCGATAATGTGACTCGTGTGCGCAAAGTTTTCAACTCAGACCGTCGACTAAGCATTCGTTTAATTGCCCATCTGTTAAATTTATCAAAATCTGTGGTTCATGACATTGTGACACAGCATTTGAACATGCGCAAGGTGTGCGCGAAGATGGTCCCAAAAGTGCTCACTGACGACCAGAAATTGCGGCGAGTGGAAGTATGCCAAGAAAATTTGAACATGTGTGAAAGTGACCCCCAATTTTTGAATAACGTAATCACAGATGACGAGTCGTGGATCTTTGAGTATGATCCCGAGACAAAAAGGCAATCTTCCGAGTGGCACACGACGGCGTCTCCTCGAACAAAAAAGGGAACAATGAGCAAATCCAAAGTGAAAACGATCCTCATTGTCTTTTTTGACATCAAAGGCATCGTCCACCATGAATTTGTTCCTCCTGGACAAACCGTCAACGCCAAGTTTTACGTGGAAGTGCTCAGGAGACTCAAACGAAGGATCAGTCGGGTCCGACAAGACATCGCAGCCGACTGGAAATTGCACCACGACAACGCCCCGGCTCACACCGCCTTTCTTGTGAACAGCTACCTGACCAAGGCCGGAATTACAACGCTTCCGCAGCCGCCCTACAGCCCAGATGTAGCCCCCCGGACTTTTTTTTTTGTTTCCTCGCCTGAAAAGGCCGATGAAAGGCAAGCATTTTGAGACGACAGAGGGGATCCAAGCAGCATGCACCGCGGCTCTCAAGGCTATTCCGGAGAATGCCTTCCGTGACGCCTTCAATGCTTGGAAATCGCGCTGGCAGCGCTGCATCGACGCAGAAGGAACCTATTTTGAAAGTTTTTAAGGAATTGTAACGATTGGCTCAATAAATTTTTTTAAGTCGACTCAGTCCTATTACTTTCCGGACAAACCCTGTATGTTCTCGATACTGATCCTTGGGGGAAACACTATCTCACATAGCTTTCATAGTAATCTTTTTACACTGCGTATAACTAATGTTAAAGACACATTTTGCTCTATGTTTTAGGATCGTAAGGACACCTGGGCGAAGTCAGTTCTAGTTTACTCTACCGATAAACCTCAGAGGCTTCCTATAGTCGATATCGGTGTAAGAGATGTCGGCAAACCAAATCAGGCCTTCTGGGTGGAAGTAGGCGCTGTTTGTTTTTCATGATGACATGATAGTAAAGTAATAAGTAATCATATTTTCAAGTCCAATTGAAGCTCCACCGCCACGATAATTGCTGTGTAATTTGTATAGGTAGGATTAAGGTAGTCTTTTGTGAAATATGTACATTCTTGTTTTATATGAAAAAAGGTGCTATAGCAATAAGTTTTATATGATGAATAAAATAAAATTAAGGATAAAATGAAGAAATCATCATTATTGCTCTCAGCTTTAGATAGGTCTGGTGTTTGTGACCAGGAAGGTAAAGAATAAGTGGGAGTTTCTAAGACCTCTCTTGATTAGCAACAGGCAATTTGGTTTCACTTCAATTGTAGAGTCAAGCACGTTCACTAAGGATATCCGCTGTAAGTGGCGGCAATGCGGATGTTCCCCGGGGATCGGCTTCAGCTCGAACAATGCCTCTGTATAAGAAGTGTGTACCGTTTGAGCCTTTTTTTATGTTCAAGGTTCGGTCTGGACTGTCATTCACACGTCTGAGGTGATTCTACTTGTATCATACTGCCGTCAATACTTCTCTTAGCTATTGTTTATTTGGCCATAAAACTACGAACAAGTGCAGGATTCTCCAGGATAGAACTCAGGCTCGGGGTATCGCCGGCACACCGCCGGCGGCAGTTGCTGTTCATATTCGGTGCACACATAGCGTGTGTTTATAAGTTAGCATGTCAGCAGATGAAACTGAGAATATTTCTTCCAATGCTTCCATCAGTCATGCTTCCTCTTCAGTGATGTCACCTCCCCGAAAACGTGACAAGAAGGGACATTTGAATATTCAGGCAAAACAGATTGTCCTTAACGTTTATAAGAGTGAAATTTTAGAGCATCCTGAAAAGAAAATTCATGATATTGAAAGACGTGTGGCGAACAAAAGAGCCTTATGCCCTAAGACAATTTTCAACATTGTTAAATGCTGAAACTGCTATATACCAGCAGGCACTTGCACATTTTGAAACAAAAAAGCGATTATGTGTATCATTTATTATTTACAAAATTTCTAATGGAATAATAACGTGTTTTTCTTAATTAGATCAAATGTTCGCCAAGAGATTACAAGAAATCCAAAATATTTGTAGCCGCTTAAAACATAATCTTAGGAAATATGATCATGTAACTGGCCAAGACAAAGACTTAGGATAGCTCAAAATTAATAACCTGTTCAAATATTTTATTTTTGTCATTTAAAAAATTTATTATAACCACTATTTCACCACTACGTTTATGGAACATGCTCAGATTTAAAACAAGCATTCATGATTTAAATTTAAGGTATACGAGCACATTATACATACCAAGACTTCGTACAGCCATGTTCCAGTGCCCGTACTTGTATAACGCCGTTAAATATTACATTGGATGAGACATACATATATTAGGAATACAGCGAATCATCACGAATTTAAGAGACTATTAAAGCACTATATTTTCAACAAACAGTAATACAGAATTTTTGGAAGCATCTAACCTTTGTTATATGTACACAGTAACACTTAAATTTTACAAGCACTTAATATCTTATCAGGTATACAGCAACAGACGTTTTTGTAGTTTATGGCAACATACGTGTATATACTTTTTTCATTATTTCAAAATATTCGTTGAGTAGATTGACCAATAGCTAATCTTCGCCTAATGCATCATACTTTTTAATGTTATGTTGTGATGTTAATGATGTAATAAAACGACACACACACACACACAAATATATATATATATATATATATAAGTTATAATATATAGGTTGCAGCCAAATGGTGTTTCAAAACAAAAGCGTGGATGAGAGCACTTGATGCAATTATAAAACCAAAAGGGCGGAAACATTGGGTTTTTGATAACGACGGTAACTATCGTTGGGGTTAACACTATATATTAATACACCCGAACACATTAAAAATTACCGAACTGCAATTTTTGGGGAAAAAACGAGAGTCTTTTTTTTTAGCTTGCGGTGTTGGCATATTTGATCACAATGCTTGTCTATGGATCTAATGCAAGCTTCCAAATGAACATTACTGGAAAGTGAAACAACATCCAGACTAGCAATGACATGATAAGGAGGTATTTGAAACTTATTAAATTGTTGACAAACATCAAACGAGTCTTTGATGTGAGCTGACTTTAAAGTGTCTGCATCGTTTCCTCAGGTTACACTCGTATCCGGATGTATGGGCATGTGTATCTACCTTTGTGGTTACATACGTGCATTCATTTTGGGCCTGATGAAGCCAACAAGCAGAAATTCGTATTGCTCGGTTTACCTATCCTATTTTCTGCTCGAATCCACTTTACTATTCCACATGGTCATTTTCTCTTTGTAGATCCTTTGGGCTTGGAGTACCACAGCAAGTGGCCTTAACCGGCCGCGTGGTTGTGATTAGATGTCGCCTTGAAGACTCGAGGTCAGTAGATGTCTTATGGGGATTCGGTCTCAAAACTTCCAAAATCCGCCACCAGAGGCGCTGGCGTCGCGCGCCATTGACAGGTTGTTGGACGGAATCTGTATTCATGAGTTGGGGATTCCGCCGCTAGATGGCGCTGTCAAACCAAACGGAATCTGTGTGTCATTGGACACCTGTCATGCGTCATTGGGCATCTCACGCATAGATGGCGTTACACGTCATCTGTCATACGTCATTGGACACCTGTCATTGATGGGTTGGGCATCTCGCGCATAGATGGCGCCGATTTGTTTGGCGCTGTACAAACCAAACGGAATCTATGTGTCATTGGACAGCTGCCATTGATGGGTTGGGCATCTCGCGCATAGATGGCGCCGATGTCGCACCTGTCTGGTGTTGGCGTGGATTACGGGGGGCATTCAGAACGTGTATACAGGGGTGCATCGAAAAATAGCGGATCGATGGACCGACGGTATATCGTTAAATCGTATATAGCAAGGCGTGACCTAAATAGCGTGGTGGGCTCCTCTGGTCGGTCGGTCGGTCGGTCAGAATGTCTCATAACCTGTATACGATGGACTGTTATTATTATACAGGATGATACCGTTCAAAATGAAAATAGTATAGACATTCTGACAATTATTTCGCAAACCAGAGGTATTTTCAATAAAACTACAATAATACGTTTAATATTTTATTGAAAATAGAAAAAAACTACATAGGTAATATGATATTTGAAAACCAGTGACGTAGACGTTCAACATTTCTCTGGGTACAGGAAAATTGTCCGTTGGTGTGGCATGGATTGGAATCAGCAACAAAGTTTCCAGTAGCACACGGTGTACCATCATACTTGCAAACGTCAATAATGTTGGGAAAAACACCAAAAATGTGACATTTCTTGAGTAAAAAGTTTGCTTTCTGTTCTCCACGAACGTAGACATAGTCAGCCGCATATATCACCTTATTTTTAATTATTTCATTTAACTTGGAATATTTAACGTCGCCGGAAGAATATTTAAGCCCATGGAAATTCTTCTCCAAGTAAGCGACAGTTTTCTTGTCTTTAGTATTTAATGTAGAAAAAGGTTGCGGAGGTGTAAAGATGTAATGACTTTTCTTGAAACCAATTTCGATACATAGTTCTTTAGGTACGAATAATCCGTCAACTGTAAAGCCTTGAATGTCAACAAACGCGATCCTCATGATGTCTGATGCGGAACTGAGAGTCCTTCGTTGCTTACGAGATGGTTTTAATAACTTCGGTGAGGGGGAAGTACTCGATTAAGCAGTCATGTATAATGATGCAGTAGACCTTGGTGTTGGTTGGAAAGCCAGTATCGGCTTCGATATCCAATCTAACATCAACAGTTGATGATTTCATGGTTTCCTCTTGTTTGGAACAGTCAATAACAAACAAAGCGCGATTTTTAAAAGCGGTATAATCTAAAAGACATCTCTTCAGAGGAGAAGAAGAAGTTGTATAGCTGGTTTGAAAGTCGCTATAGTTGAAATGAGCTTCAGTAAAGTGATTGTTTGCAAAGTCCAATTGCATACGTTCGTTGGGATAGTATTCACCATTCAAAGATACTCGAATACTAGCAGCATTCACGTGATCAAACAGGGTCGGGTCTGAGGTTGCGACGTCACGTTTACCGGTTTGGAAACATACTATAATGAAACGTGGTCTTTCGATTGCGGTGCTAGTTTTAACTGACCATATTTCTCTTCTCGCATCTGCGGTAATTGCAGGCAGTTCATTCAGATCCCATTTTCTAAACGGTATAAGTATCGGCTTATCAGTTTGAATAGCTTTCAAAAGTTGTTCTTTCACATCATCACTCGGGTAAATATGTTTGATTTTCAGTTCCATGCTTTCAATAGTTATTTTCGCTGTCGTCGTCGTTCCAGTTTTTTCCTTGATAATGATACAATCGTTATCGTTTCTAGCTCTCACAAATCTGAGAGTTTGTCTGCCACACGTAATCATAGGATAATC